TGTTATCACTTATGGTTTTTCCAGTTACTGTGTACATAGCATTCAATTAAAGCGATTCATTTACCAGGCTGAATACGGTTTGTGTTTATAGAACTGTGCTTTGGAGGAGAGGAAACAACACGCCTCTGTTTGAATTACCTGATTTTTTGCAAGATCAATGATAAGAGACAGATGTTCTCACCAGTTACTTTCTCATAAACCTGAATCTTTTGATAAGCTGCAAATTCACAATTATCATCTTACAGTCTAGCTTTTCACACTCAATATATAGCATGCATGTGGACTTTTAACCAAAAAAAAGAGAAAAATATGAGTTTGGTGGCCTGTTTCCAATATTATAACATTTTACAGAATGAATTTTATTTTCTTTGGACAAAAACATGTAAAAGAGTTTTGTCTATGCTTCATACCGTCCAATTTTTAAGAATAAACTTAATTCTATTTTAGATTCCATTTATTATTGAGGTTATTGTTTAGTTTATTGTTTAGAATGTAGGAAAGAAACTAATTCTTGCTATAAGACTAATTTGTGGTAAATTCTAGAACTCCTTAGAAGAATGAAACCTAGAAAATCTAAAATGATCATTTTCCTGTTTTTCATCTATTATTTGCCTGATAAATTAGATACACTATGGCTAATTGCTATAATGCTTTCTTAAGAATGTTATTTGAAAGCACTAATTTCTAGAGCTTTTAGATTTCTGGGATAATATGTGATCCAAGAAGCTTGTTTGTGGTGCCTTTGAAAAGTTTTAAAATATTTTTTCTGTAGGTCAGCAAAATAATAGTTCACTGATTTATAAAACTAAATCTATAAAGCAAATTCTACAAAATAAAATGCTAAATTTGGAATCCTTCCCTTTTTGCAAAACAATTTTTTTACTCACTATTCTACTTACTTCTGTATGGCCCTTTTTAGTTTATAAAGGCATATATGTTCACATCTATCCCATTAGATATAACTCTTTAAGGGAGGTATCATCTCATCTTTAGAGAAGAAAAATGTGAAGCTCTAGGGTATGACATGATTGCACACAGTCACATGCACAAGGCTCTGAACCCATGATTCAAAGCTTTGAGCCTCATGGCCCCTGTTCTAGTGTTCTTCTCCACACACCAGAGTTTGAGAGCAGGGGTGTTTTTCATTAGTGGTTTCATCAGAGGCCCCACTGAATAGCATTGAATTACTTACTTGGTGGGAAGGATGGCCCCTTTCCTGGTCTCTGCCTGTCCTTGTGACACTCCCAGGTAGGCCAGCTGGAGTTGGGAGAAGAACTTCTCTCACACCACCCAGGCATTGCAAACTGCCCCTTTTAACAAGGACAGGTGATCTCAGACCCATCATCTTGATTAAGACAGAAATATTTTTAGTTAAATCCAGTAGTACTGATTTACTGTCATTGTATTCAATTCAGAGTTCTTTTCTTTTTTCTTTTTTTTTTTTGAGACAGAGTCTCGCTTTGTTGCCTAGGCTAGAGTGAGTGCCGTGGCGTCAGCCTGGCTCACAGCAACCTCAAACTCCTGGGCTCAAGCAATCCTGCTGCCTCAGCCTCCTGAGTAGCTGGGACTACAGGCATGCGCCACCATGCCTGGCTCATTTTTTCCTGTATATATTAGTTGGCCAATTAATTTCTTTCTATTTATAGTAGAGACAGGGTCTTGCTCTTGCTCAGGCTGGTTTCAAACTCCTGACCTTGAGCAATCCGCCCTCCTTGGCCTCCCAGAGAGCTAGGATTACAGGCGTGAGCCAACGCACCCAGCCCAGGGTTATTTTCTATTTATGCAAAGGATACTAGTTTTACAAAATAATTTTAAGTTAAAAAAAAGTGAGTCACTTTGAAAAACCTACTAAGCAAATAATGTTCACTTTGGACATGGACATGGCAAAAGGCATGAGGGCTGTACACGAATGAGTGATGTCTGGAAAGCGCTGTCCTGGCCTATGTATGTATAAAGCCCTGGAGGCCGTGAAGAAAGTTTCAGTCTCAAGACTTTTATTTTAGTTTTTCAAAGATTCTGGCTATAGATGTGATATTAACGTATTGAGGGGAAGGTGAAAGAAGGACTTTGTGAGTTAGAAATGAGTGGAGCACTTCGTGGGTGTTTCTCTATTGGGAATATGCAGCTGCTCTCGTTTGAGTACCTCATGTTAATTCCTAATTTTAAAATGTTATCACAAAGATATAATCTTTGGGTTGTTCCCTTTCAGTGTGGAGAAGCAAAATAAGCAAGCATATGGCCATAATTTGGCTCACTGGTCATATAGTTCCCTCTTTAACCCCCACATTAACCCAACCCCAGTGCTGTCTTTGGCGACTGCGGCACAAGCCCTGTGTCTCCTCAGGGCGCTGTCTAACGTGGGTGGCAGGGTAGGGTAGGCTAGCCATCTGTTATTTTGCCCTCTCTTTCCAATCTTGCCCACAGAAGCAGGTTCCGTTGAAGTGACTGGCTGAGGTCCAGAGGGTGGAGGAGCCATGTGACTTTATCTCAGCTACACGCATATTTGCTGTCTTTAGCATCAAGAGCAACTTAGTAATTTTTTTCTGAATGCCCCATTTTACAGATCGTTGCCTTTATACATATGAATCTTACAAAGCAAAATGGATTCATTCACAAATTCTGGCTTCAGCTTGTTAAAGGATTCAGTTTGTAATTCCCGTAAACTTATCCCAGAAAAGCTTTTTTAAAGTAAGACTCCAAATTCCAGTGGTGAAAATGACTGATTTAAGTGTGTGCTAAAGATTTTTAAAACCCACCAGGCTTCAAGGTTTAGTTCCTCATCTCAACAGATGGAATTAACACAAACATAACAAAGTTAACATCATGGTTGTTTGCATTATTAATCTCCAAATGCATGGCATTCTGCTACCTTGCTAGCCAGGTTCGCACGAATCCTTTCATTGCAACATATGTCAACAGAAATGTGCTTCCATCTGCTGCCGGATAGCTTGATGCCTGATATTCCGAGACAAGGCCCAGCACAATACGTACCTCTGTGAGTAATTACAGGTGTGTGGTGAGGGCATTAATCAGAGGCTTAATTATGAAAAAGGTGGATCTTTTGTTCCACTCTCGGAGCACAAGTTTACCACACACTTTCTGAACTGCAGCATCCATCTGCTGGGCCCCTTAGAATGTTTGCTTTGGCTGATATGGACCCTAAAGTGTATCAAAGGACGTGATTAAAGCAGGTTTAAACATTAACCTAAAAGAAGCACGGTTCAGGTTTTTCTTTCCTTTCTTCCTTCCTTTTATTTATCTATCTATGTATCTATATGTTTATTTTTGGTATCAGGAAAAGTCTGTTGAAATGCTAAAACTTTAAATTAGTACTTGCTTTACTGTTTACCACGTGTGAGTCAGTAGATTAAGCATTATACAGTCATTTTAAGGATATAAATAATGAGATTAGTAGAAACTAAATGAGTCTACTATGAAAGAGAAAAAATGTCTTAGGAAAAAATGTTTTGTGAACAGATACAGATTTACTTTTAAGAAGATAAGTTGTTAAATGAGGTTATTTTTATTATGAAGAACTTAAGTTAACATGTTAGAATTTAGCATGTTAAATTACTACTTTGCTCTAATTTAATTGAATTAAATCTAGATTATTTTAAAGGATTTTTCAAATAGCCACACTGAAATCTAAAAAAAGAAACTAGAATTTTTTTTTATTATTTTGCTTCTTACTCATATACTGAGACTAACTATAAGTTGTACAACTATAAGCTGCTTAACTATAGTATAGTTTTGCACTGCCTAATGATATATCAGTCAATGAGGGACCACATATACAATGATGGTTTCATATGATTATAACACCGTATTTTTACCATACCTTTCCTATGTCTAGGAAGTATTTGTGTTTAAACACACAAAATACTTACCATTGTGTTACAATTGCCTACAGTATTCAGTGTAATAACCCTCTGTACAGGTTTGTAGTGTATATAGCCATATAACCTAACCTAGGTGTGTAGTAGACTATACCATCTAGGTTTGTGTAAGTACACTGTGACATTCTCAAGATGACAAAGATCACCTAACAATGCATTTCTCAGAACGTATCTTTGTTGTTAAGCTACACATGACTGTACTTCAGTATGTTTGATTAATGTGCATGACCAAAATCTACATAAATATTTGTGGGTTTTTTTTACTAATCTCCCTTGTATACACACACACACTTGCACAGATAGCGTCAGAGTTATGGCCTGGCCATGGATGTCATGAATGCTGTTTAGTGGTGGACCCCTTGATCTGCCACAGGCAAGAATGGGGTAACTGCCTCAGAACAGAGCTGAGGGGTGAGGGGCCATCCAGCCACCAATGAAAGGCTGTTACAGATACAGGGACGCAAGGTGTCTGGGAAAGATAATGCTCTTCACAGTGAATATAGTGCAAAAGGCTACTGCTACACTTTGTATTTGTTCCTTGAGATCACTCTTGTACTTAGAGCCACGCTAACGCCCTGAACTTAGCATATCATTGATTACAACATTACATTAGCACTTGGTATAGTCACATTTCTTAGCACATAAAATTACCCAAAGAGTGAGAATTTCCATCTCTTTGCCTACTTTAAGCTTTTAAACTTATATTAGTGTGTTTTAGCTTTTGAAAATGGAAAGCTCAAAACAATGCATTCTTTGTTTTAGTGATAGGTGTTTGAAGGTTTTATTTATGTATCTACCTCATCATTCCTGGAGCTTGTTCAAGGAGTCCATTTAGGTGGAAGACAGGAGAAATGTACACTCCCAAAGCCATGATACAGATTTTGGATAAGTCATCTTAACAGTTTGGTGTTTCCATTCTCTTACCTGTAAAATGGGTACAATAACCCTTGTAGTAGCTCAGTTCCCAATACCTTCACTGAAAATTTTCTGTGGTCTGTATTCCCTTGGATTATTATACAGTAGTCCTATATGTACATACAAACTGACTACTTTGGAATTTTGTTCTTAAAAATTACAATTGTGATTTCTTATCTTTCCTTTTAGGATATCTTAAATACCATTATCAGGCACTGTCCACCCCGCTTCTTCTCCCTGGGTTTGCCTGGCTTCTCCATGCTGGTGGGGGACTTCATCACGGCCGCTGCCAGGGTCCTCAGTACAGACATGTTGACGGTGAGTATGACAATGCTCAGCTTCCAGGCTCCCAGGAGGCTTCACAATCGCTAACAAGGTTCAGATTTCTCCACTCTTAACAGGTGTTGACTCATTAGTGCAATGTGAAACTGGGCTCTCAGGGTAGATACCCTGGCAGCTGATGTGTGAAATTGTAGGATGAGATGACACACTGGTATTGGAAAGGCGTTTCATCAAAAGGCCAAAGTGTGAGAAATCATATCCTCACTAATATTTCAGCACATTTACACAGTCAGAAGCAGGACTTGTCTCTTATAATCTCATTAGCATTTTCCAGTAAATGGTGGTACAGACGTAAATGTTGGAAGTAAAGAGAGAATTTTAAGTGTACATTAACAGGAAGATTTGGTTTCTGTTTTTAAATTAAGTCTTGGTTATTATAAGTCTCATAGAAAATATTTTCTTAAAATGTTAGAACACTAAAATTGTAACCAAAATGAATATATATTTTCTTAATAATGTGCCAGAAAACTCTGGCAGAATTCTTGTACTAAAAAATTAGAAGCAAGTGAACTGAATGAGCATTAAGGACTACAAAAAGAATCTATTTTCACTCTATACATTTACCTCTACTATTAAGGTAATATCTTAATGCCTTTGGAGAGAACTCATATTTATTTATTTATTTATTGAGACAGAGTCTCGCTTTGTTGCCCAGGCTAGAGTGAGTGCCATGCTAGGCATCAGCCTAGCTCACAGCAACCTCAAACTCCTGGGCTCAAGCAATCCTGCTGCCTCAGCTTCCCGAGTAGCTGGGACTACAGGCATGCACCACCATGCCCAGCTAATTTTTTTCTATATATATTACTTGGCCAATTAATTTCTTTTTATTTATAGTAGAGACAGGGTCTTGCTCAGGCTGGTTTTGAACTCCTGACCTCGAGCAATACGCCCGCCTTGGCCTCCCAGAATGCTAGGATTACAGGCGTGAGCCACCATGCCTGGCCCCATATATATTTAAATTTAAAAGATCTTTCCCATTGGTGCTCTGTATAGATGTTATCTATTCAGAGTCATTTTTGCCCCTTCAAATAATGTAAATAAAATTCGCTTTACTGTTTGCTAGGGATTGATATTGAAGTCAATACGACTATCCAACAACATAAATTTTGTTTGATATATGGTTACCTTTTCACTCTTCTTCTTCTTCTGTGCAGGGTAAATTTAAACTTCAAGTCCTAGGTTTTTAATTACTTTGTATAGCTGTTATTTCCAGCTGATATTTTTACACACTAACTTTTTCTTACAAGAATAAATTAGAAAGCAAAGAGAAGGGAAAAGAGACAGCAGCAAAAGGGAAGAAAAGAAAGGTAAAAGAGAAGAAAAATGTTCAATTCGTTCAATTTTTTTAGGTAAAGAATATGACAACTTTACATACTTCATTATCTCAAAAAAGATTTTAGGATAATCAGTCTCAAAGAATCTTTAAATGTATTTTTAACCATTCAAATCAACATTGAAAAAAATTATAAGATATAGGAAGGAAAATCATATTTTTTTAAGTTTTCATTACATAGGAGTATTTCCTATAAAAATGCTGGAGTCCCTTCTAGAAATGATATCACTCATAGAGGTCATTCTCTGTGAAAATTATCTTTTGGCTAGATGAGCTATGGAAATAGCCTTCCAGATGTACATTGCCCAACAGGTACAGTAGCTTACCTTATCCTCAGTTTTGCATGCCTAGGTTTCAGTTACCTGTGGTCAGCAGTGGTCCAAAAATATTAAGTGGAAATTCCAGAGATAAACCATTCAGTGTTTTAAATTGCATGCCATTCTGAGTCGCATGATGAAATCTTGATCTGTTCTACCCTCTCCTTCCCAGGACATGAATCATTTCTTTGTCCAACATATCCACGCTGTGTCTGCTACCCACCCATTAGTCATTTATTATACATAGTAGCCATATCTGTTATCAGGTTGGCTTGTGTTCAAGTCACCTTTATTTTACTTAACAGTGGCCCCCAAAGCACAAGAGCAGTGATGCCGGTATATTATCATAATTGTTCTATTTTATTATTAGTTATTGTTATTAATCTCTTCCCGTGTCTACTTTATACATTAACTATCATAGGTATGTATGTCTAGGAAAAAATATAGCATAAATACCGTTTGGTACTATGCAGTTTCAGGCATCTATAGGGGTGGGGGTAGTGTCTTGGAAGTATCCCCTTAGAATAAGAGGTAATTGCAGTATATGAAAAATGCTCAAGATCATTAGTCACCAGGGAAATGCAAATTAAAATCACAATGAGACAAACACCTCACAGCTAGCTGTTAGGATGACTGTGATCAAAAAGACAAAAGATAACAAGTATTGGTGAGGATGTGGAGGAAACAGAATCCTAGTACACTGTTGGTGGTAGTGTAAATTGGTATGGCCATTAGGAAAATCAGTATGGAGGTTTCTCAAAAAGTTTAAAAAAATAGAACTACCATAAGATCCAGCAGTCCCATTTTTGGGTACGTATCCAATGGAAAGGAAATCAGTATGTCTAAGAGATGTCTGCACTCCCATGTTCAGTGTAGCACTGTTCACAATAGCTGAGATATGGAAACAACTTAAGTGTCAATTATGATGAATAGACAAAATGTAGTATGTGCTTCCAGTGAAATATCATTCAGCCTTAAAAAGAAGGAAATTCTGTCTTTTGCGACAGCATGGAGGACCTGGAAGCCATTATGCTAACAGAAGTAAGTCAAGCTCAGAAAGACAAATACTGCATCATGTCATGTATAGGTGGAATCTAAAAAAGTCCAACTCCTAGAAGTAGAGAGTAGAATGGTGGTACAGGGGTGGAGGTGTAATGGGGCAATACTGGTTAAAGGGTACAAAGTTTCAGTTATGCAGGATGAAGAAAATTTGGAGACATAATGTACGCATGTATAGCATGGCGACTATAGTTATAATACTGTATTGTAAACTTGAAATTTGCTAAGGGAGTAGATTTTAATGTTCCCACCACACATACATGAAGAAGGAACTATATGGGGTGATGGATATGTTAATTAGCTTGATTGTGGTCATCATTCCACAATGTATATGTATGTCAAAGTGTTGTACACCTTAAATATATACAATTTTTATTTGTCAATTATATTTCAGTAAAGCTGGAAAAAAGTAGCTTTCCAAAATGTTTTTTTAAAAAGAAAATATGAGTTTTTTTAAAAAAGAAAGATTTTTAGAAAATGAGAATGTGAATATAAAAGTTACATAAAGGAATCATAACTTTTTGAATTACAGTACTTTCTTGTTTAAACTTGAGGTGTAAAATTGTAGGGGAACTGATAAGAGGTGTTTGGATAGAGCATACCTGCTCAGTCAAAATTTTCAATTGACGCAAGTTAATTATAAGTTTGAAGTACCCCTGCTTTATAGGTCATCCCCACTGAAGCAATAAGAGGGAAGGAGAAAGGAGGGGGCGGTGGCAGAGAAATATATGCAAAAGACACCAAAAGATGGGTAGAAGCAAGTGCGCATTAACATTATTTGTAACAGCCAAAATCTAGAGCCCATCCAAATGTCCTCAACCACAAAACAGATAAATTGTGGTGTGTACATAAGATAGACTGTTATATATAATAAAAATACAATAAGGATCCATTGCATAACATAATGAATGAAAAAAGTCAGACACAAAAGAACATATACTCTAATTTCATTTATATAATTGAAAAAAGACAAAACCAGTCTGTAGTGCCATAAAGCAGAATGGAGTTGCTTTGGGGAGGGGAGGATATCTTGGGAGGGGCACAAAGAGGACTTCTGTGGGCTGGTAATGACATTCTTCCTGTTGTCTGTCCCTTCATCCTCAGGGCTCTGACCTCTGTCATCATTTCTTTTCTCTCTGTATACTCACAGAGATGGCATGTATTCAGTTCCTCTGAACACAAAAGGCTTCCAAATTATTATCCCAGACTTTTGTTTCCTAACCTCAAGACAAGCATTTAGGAAAGTCTTCAGAACACTAATCATCTACTATACTCTGGGGGAAAGGGAAGGAAGAAAGCCAGGTTCGTGGTCAAATAATTTTAGGCAATATACTTCCTCACTTGGAAATTTATGATGTGCATTAACATGTTAAAGGCTCCTGTTTAACTGTGCTTGACCAAAAGTTTCTGCAACTTCTTTTTCTCTGAAGTCTTTGTTTTTCCCTTTAACATTCCCTGTGGCCCTGGTAGAATACACTTTGGGGACCACTGCTTCCAACCCTTTCAGCCGCCTGCCTGTAGGTGTCACAAGATGTATCAAATTCATACCCCCTCTTCCCAAGCAGAGCACAGCTTATCTTAGAGCCTTTTCCTCCTGCCTGCTTTCTGTGAGTGCCACCACAGTGTTTTGTCACCTTAGTCCTTCGCACAGAAGCGACTTTACATGCTTCCTTCATGCCCCACATCTAATCAGGCATCAAGCCCTAGGGATCATAGTCTTCACCTTTCTCTCCATTTCCCCTCCCTGCTCCCCAGTGACACTGGCTCACTCTAGACCTTTGTTGTGTTTTCACTGGGTCTATTGCAGTGGTCTCCAAGATCTGTAATCCAAGGCTCACCCTCACTCCTGAAGCCATCCTTTATACCCATTACCAGCATGAGCTTCTAGAGTATACAATGAGCCTGGTAGCCCCACCAGTTGGAACTGGTGTCATTTGTCCATTTACTTTCATAGAAGTTTGGATTCTGTAGCAGGGCCTATAGGGTTGGGGGAGCAGGGATGAATGGAGCCTGTCACCTGGCTCTACAGCCTCTCCTTCCTACAGGTCACCTACCACAGCAGGTCACTGTATGCCCCTTCTCTCCCTTTGCCTGGAATTTCCTTTCCATTCTTGACCCTAAAGCTCCATAGAGGCAGTCTGGGGTTTAGTTCCAACATTGCCCTGTACTAGGTATCCTTAAACATTGTGGGCATCACTCAGTTTTCCTTGTCTGCAAATTGGGGATTGCCATAAACTCAGTACTTAGGGAAAAAATTATCTAGACTTATATTCTTTGAATAAAGCTATAACAACTCTTTACTTAAGATCTAATGTTTTATATCCAGTTGTTATACAGTCTAGAATTCAATCTAAAATTCTATGGTGCAAGCCAGGCTCACACACTACAAAATAGTTCAGGGCTGCTCAGGGAAAAGAATCAACCTTAGCAAAGTGTAAATCAGGACTGTCCGTGCTAGATAAAGGGTAGAAGTTAGTGAGGAAAGACAAAGCAATGTTTCCCCTTGAGAAGCATTTACCGTGCACCTACTATGTGCCAGGACCTGGCCTGGATAAGTATGACAGGGTCCCTATCTTCAGGGAATCAGATGTGTAAAATTCTTAATATTTGCAAATAAGTTTCTAGCAGCCATGGTAGAATTATATCCAGGACCCAGAGAGCCATCAGTATAGGAATAGTTAATTCTGCTTGGTGAGAGGTGGAAGGGAAGACACATGTCAGAAAAGCCTTCATGGAAGGAGTGATGCTGAATCTGAGACCTGAGGGGTGAGCAGTGTTCACCTAGTAAATGGGGACAGCAACAGCCATCCCTTATCTCGGGGCAGTGTTTATACAGTGCCCACTGGGGGTGGAGAAGTGGTGAGGACTGTCAAAACTCTCTGTCCCTGTGGAGGATACAAGCATTAAACAAATGGATAATATGTCAGGAAGTGATGAATGCAAAGAAAAAACATGAAGCAGGGATGCTGGAGAATACAGAGGTGAAATGACATGGTGACTTGAGTTTACATTAAAATATTCAGAGTGGAAATGTTTAAGTGACTTTTAAATATTGAAATGAAACAATAAAAAGGGGCTAGGTAAGGTAAGAGTGGTAAAATCCTGATTGTAGGTGTTGGGTGTATGGATATAGTATTCTCTATACTTTTTTGTTTAAAGATTTTCTTAACGTAAAAATAAAGAAAAATAAAAGCAGTAGATTCGAGGACAGGAGAGGAGGTGCGGCTCTGTTCCACAAGATTACAGAAGAACTCTCTAGTGAGGTGGGGCGTGTCAGTGTGGGATGTTTTCTTGACCCTGAGTGGAGATATCAACAAGCAGTCAGATCTGCAGATCTGGAGGTCAGGAAGGAAGTCTGGGCTAGAGAGATGTGTTGGGAGTTGGCAGTACATAGGAGGCATTTAAATCTACGGGTGTAGATATCCTGTGGGAGTAAGTGCAGATCTAAGAGGGAAGAGGACAAAGAACTGCGCTCAGCATCCCAGAGTCTAGGTCCTGGGGAAATGGGAAGTTCCAGCAAGGGAGACTGTCAGGGTTCCTTGGGAACTAAGAAAGATGTCCCAGAGGCCCCATGATTAAAGTGTTGCCATTGCATGAGATGCCACTGCAGGTCAGATGAGATAAGGCCTGGATGATGACCACTGGGTTTGCGATATGGAGGTCACATACCAAAAACTGTGTACTCACTGCCCAACTTTGGCAAACCTTAACATTTTGCTGCAGTAGTTTCAAAGGTTTGTATTTTAAAAATGAAACAAAACATTAAAGATATAGTGCCTTCATCCCTGATATCATTGCTGCATTCTGAACTGTCATCACACTTGCTTCAGTGACTGCCTGATACTCTTCTTTCCCGGATGGCATCCATTTGCAGTCCTGCTGGTGTTAGGGGTCAGGCGGGTCACTTGTCAGGCAGACTGAAATGTACCTTGGTCTGTGTGTCCCTTCCCAGGCAGCCCCAATGCCTTTCTCAGACTGACTCCTTTAGCTGTTGTTCCCCTAGTCCCCATGTGCACACTCTCATGTTCTCTGGGCCCTGTGCAAGTGGGACCTCTTACAGTTCCATGGGTGTCCTGGGCCCCTCTGCCTTTGCCTTTCCTGCTGCCTGCAATGTGCCTGTTGCTCCCTCAGCTCGCTCCCTCACTCACCACTAGCCTGCCTGACTTCTGCTCTGTGGCCCTTAACTTCTACTCTGTGGCCCTTAGCAGCAGTTTGTTGCAGTGTTTCCAAACCATCCTGAGCAGAACTAATGACTGCCTCATCCCATAGAACCTCTCTGTGTGTGTTTTACATTGTCTTTTATTTACCTGTGTGCTTATGAGAACCAAGCTAGCTAAAAAATGAACCAAGCTAGCATGAAGAATGACTGGGTTCCCCTGGTATCCCCAGTAGGTTGCTCTCAGAGCATGTGCTTCAGCCAATTGTGTGTAACTGCAATTTGCCTCTCCTCCCTGACCCCACATTCGATGTGCCCATCTCTCTCTTTCATGTTATACCTCCAGTACTTAACAGTACAGGCCCAGTGTGGACCAGGAGTTAGATGGCCTCAGGCCAAATCCAGGGACCATCACTCATGAGCTATATGACTTTGAAAAGCTATTTAAGTTGTTTGAGCCTCAGTTTTCTCACTGGAAAATAGAAACAATAATAGTATCTAATTCATTGGATTTTTGTGTGGATTCTATAAGGAAATGCTTGTAAAGCACTTAGAAGAGTGCCTAGCACAGAGTGAGAACTCCTTAATTGTTAGGAGCCGTTGTTATTATTATTACATAATAGTCAATATGCCAGTGGATACATGGACAGGTAGGTAAGTGGATAGATAACAGACCTTATAATCCTGGCACCTGCCCCCAGGCTTGTTTAATCATATCTGCTAGTAAGTGTTGGCTGAGTTGAAATCTAGTAAAATGTCTTCTTTAATATATACCTAATTCTAATAATGGACAAATAAGAATATCTCACTAGATACAGTGATATAGTATCTCACTATATGCTATTTTGCAAAGTAGTTCTTGGTGACCTGACACTCAGGAAATTTGGTAGATGGTGTCTTCTCTTTCTCTCTATCTTCTGATAGTTACCTGCAACCCTACTTCCTTATAAATTTTCCTTAATTGTTCTTAACAGCAAAAATAGTATTTAGTTGATATAATTTACCCCGTTTTGTCAAGAACATTAACTAAAACAATGTAGAACAGTCATAACTGAGTCATTTGACTTCCTAATTCTGAATCAGTCTGCAGACCAGTTTTCACAACACTTGTTTATATCCAAGTATAGTGATATTTTCCATTCCTTGTAAATTTGCTTTTTCATTAAGGCAAATATCTCTTTCTTAAATATTCACCTGGGGAAAAATAACTCAGCATAGTTTGATATTGTTTATCTAGGGTAAAATAATTATAAAGATTCCCTCTCAAAACCATGAAGAGTAAAACATATTGTTGCTTATCTAAAGTTTCTAACTTACAAAAACAAAAATGTGTGTGTTTCACTTCTTTGTGTGTAGGCGCCTCGTTCAGAAGCTCTCACTATCCTTGGTTCTCTTGTCTGCTTTCCAAATACCTACCGGGAGATCCCTCTATTGCGGTCAGTGCCGGAAGTGAATGAGGTCCTTACAGGGACTGAAGATGTCAAGGTATGTAACACATTTGACTGAATCTCAAGTTTAGCATTTTGTAATTCTAGCTACATGATTATCTCTTCCATTTGTCCTTGAAATTTTGGTCTATCTTTTAAATGTTCAATAGGTGTTTTTAGAAGCCTGTTTTAGGGGCTATAAATGTATTAGATTCAGGGCATAATGCAGTTAGACCTTATAGCTATATTCCTTGAGTGTTTTTTATTAGACCTGTTTATTATGCCTAGGGATCATAATTATGTAATAAATTATTCTTTGTAATAATTCTATTAGCTTAATTATGAATTATGCTGCATTAGTGCATCAAATTAATTTATAAGAAATCATTGAAATAAGCTAAATGTTCAACCCCATTATTGGCCTGATTAAATACTACTAATACTTTGAAATTCTAAATTATTCCTTGGAGAATAAAAGTAAGCATTTATTCTCTCCTCAGCTGACTTTGAGGCAAACAAAAATGCTTTTACAATCCCAGAATCAATCAAACTATAATACATGATTATAATATATAATTCAATGTATAATATATAATCCAATTAAAGTGAAAGAACACCAGAATTTTCCTATCTGGAAGTCTCATTTGCTTTGAGAAGTTTTCATCATATACCAGAAACACTCTTCTCTAGCCTGGCTTAATTGCCCGTGGAGACCTTGTCACACTGCCCCTCCGAGCCCAGTGTTCTCCTTTCCCCAGGTTCTCCCTGATAGAAGAGCTCCCTGGTCCTTCGTAGCTCCTGGCTGCCTGGAACATGGTCAGAACATGTGGGAAACCAACTATGACACAAAGTTTTTATTTTACCTAATTTTGTGTTTTTAGCTTTACCTCATAAATATTTTGCTGAAGAATGCCACAAAGGAGCCAAATGAATGTGCAAGGTAAATGTTGAATAACAGGTAAACTACTTTAGAATTTTAAGGTACGCATTTATGCATAAACAGTTAATGCTAAAAACCACTCTTTCACATTACCCTTACACACAATAACAAGTATAGGAAGAATTATGTCAGGAACATGCTTTGCTTAATTATTTTAAAAGGCATCATTATGAAGTGAAAACAGTAAGGTGCAGAAGATTATACATGGTATGCTATCTTTTATGTAAGAAAAAGCAAGATTTCAAATATATACATGTATTCCCTGATAACCCTGATATTTCCTATAGGGTGTTTCAAAAGTCTCCATACAAAGGAAACATTTTATAATGAATATTTTGTAAATAAAGGTACATTTAGCTCCAATTTCCCATTTTCCCTATGTATGGTGACTTTTGGGATACCTTGTATAAGAAAAAAAATGGAATTATAAGCCAAAATTAATAGAAATGGTATATTTATAGGGTAATGATTCTCAACCAGTGATGATTTTGTACCCCAGGAGACATTTGGCAGTATCTGGAAACATTTTGGTTGCTTCTGCCAGGCATCTGAGGATGCTAGCAGTGTAAGGTCAAGATAAGAGGTTTTCTGGGCCACTTACATGATGAAAAGCTTCTATTCCCAATGTGAAACCCAAAGCCAGGAACACTGATGAAAGGGAACACCTGTCTCTGGTCCTCAACTTCCAACCCCTGAAGTCACCAGAAGCCCAGCTCAGCCTCTTGCTGCCTCCTAGAAACTGGCTCATTCCAAGGCAGCAGCCCATCACTTGTCACCATCTTGTTAGCTCTTTGATGATTTTGAGAGTTTTTTCTTTTGTGTTTTGTCTAACTTTTTTGGTTACCTTCGGTGGATAGTTTAGTTCAAATTTCATAATATGCTGTTATCAGAAACTACATATTCATTATCAATTTGCTAATATTAAACTAAACTGGCATTTTGAGATTAACCCAACTTGGTTTGTGTGGTACTAGGTCTGGCTTGGCTAATATTTTTCTTGGGAAAGTGGCATTTATATTCATGGCTTGTAATTTCCTTTCCCCATTTTGCCCTTGCCATGTTTGGATAGGAGGTTATATAATCTCACAAAATGAGTGAAGTACTATTTCATTCTGTATAGTCAGAAGGAGTTTTTGCAAAATTCAAGTTAATATTCTTGTGTGTTTAGTAGGCCTTGATGGTAAAACTATCTAGGTCTAATATTTTCTTTGTGAGAAGGTTTACTACTAACTCATTCTCTTCAATGATTTTAGGAATATTAATGTTTTCTTTATTTGTTTTTTTGGGGGGTGGGCAGTTTTGATGAACCAAACTTTTCTAGGAATTTGTCCATTTCACCTAAGTTTTAAAATACACTGGCATATGAGTTGTCTCTATTGTCCTCTTATCTTTTATCTCTTCACTTCTATAGTTATATCCAATTTTTAATCTCTGACACTTTTTGTATATTATCTGACTTTTTAACTAGTCTTGCCAAAGATTTGTCAACTTTATTATTCTTTTTAAAAATTAGACTTTTTTCTTTTTTCATCTTCTCTATTCTATATTTGTTTCTATTTCTAGTTTCTGCTTGTTTTCATTTTTTCTTCTACTTTCTTTACATTTAGCTATTTCTTTTCTAAGTTGAATATTTAGTATATTAATTCTCAGCCTTCCTCATTTATTAATATGAACATTTAAGACTATATTTTTTTCTAGGTACTATTAATACTATATCTGAATTTTATAGGTTTTGATATATAATATTTTTTCATTCCAAATTTTTTCTACTTTTCATTATGATTCTTTCATTGAGTCAAGAGTTGCTTAGAAATATGTTTCTTAATTTCCAAACATATAGTTATTTCTATTTATGTTTTTGTTCCTGATATCTTAGTTAATGTCATTACATATCAAAACATTGTTAAGATTTAGTTCATGGCCCAGTACATAATCAGTTTTTGGAAATGTTCCATATATGCTTGAAAAGAATGTGTGTACTATTCTTTAATTTTTGGGCATAGTCTTCTAGGTGTGTCCATTAGATTAAAATTTTTTAATCATGTTTCAAATTTCTGTATCCAATATAATATTTTTCATCAGCTTGCTCACTTACTGAAAGACATACATTAAAATGTCCCACTATTATGGTGCATGTATCTATTTCTCCATGTATATCTGTCAAATTTTACTTTATATATCTTGAAGATACATGATTTGTTGCATAGACATTTAGAATTGTCCTATTTCTATAGTGAATCAAATTTTTTATACTTATGTAGTGAACCTTTTTATTTCTAAGGATGATTTTTTATCTTAAATACTTTTTATATCTTAAATACCACTTTGATACTGATTTAGCTGTTTATTATAATATAATCTCATAATTAACCATACTTTTAAATTAACCTTTCTATATTCTTTTCTTTTAGATGTCTTTGCCAAAAGTTGTCTGATTATTTATTTATTTATTTATTGACAGAGTCTTACTCTGTCACCCCAGGTAAAGTGCAGTGATGTCATCGTAGCTCACTGCAACATCAAATTCCTGGGCTCAAGGGATCCTTCTGCCTCAGCCTCCTGAATAGGTGGGACTACAGGTGTGCACCACAATCCCCAGCTAAATTTTTTTTTCTCTATTTTTAGTAGATATGTGGTCTCGCTCTTGCTCAGACTGGTCTGGAACTCCTGAGCTCATGCAGTCCTCCTGCCTCAGCCTCCCAGAGTTCTAGGATTACAGGCATGAGCCACCGCACCAAGCCTGATCTTTATTTTTTAATTTAAGCTTCAGTTCAGCATCTCCAACCTTTTTGGCACCAGGGACGGGTTTCATGGAAGTCAGTTTTTCCACGGACAGGGGCAGGGGGAGCTCAGGTAGTGATGCGAGTGATGGGGAGTAGCTTAGCTGTAAATACAGATGAAGCTTCACTGGCTTGCCCACTGCTCTCCTCTTGCTGTGCCGCTGACAATAAGTTTATTTACATTGTTATAATTACTATTCTATTTGGATGTATTTCTTCTATGTTACACTTTACTTTTGATTAGGCCCTCTCAATATTTCTTTAATTTCTCTTATATCTTGCTTTCATTTCCTTCTCTCTCTCTCTCTCTCTCTCTCTCTCTCTCTCTCTCTCTCTCTCTCTTTCTTTTTCTTTATTCTATTTATTCAGTTTTCTTTAAGAAGTCATAGACTCCCTTTTAATTCTTTTAGAGGCTATCCTAGAAATTTTGACATGCATACTTACCAGTTCTGAAGTTAATCTCTCTTTATCCTATTCCTGAACAAGGCCTGTTCTTGGATCATAACCTACTGATTTTGCTCCTACCTCCCTACAGCTGTTCCTTTGCTTGCCTCTTCTCTTCTACCTAACCTCTGACTGTTAGAGTGCCTCAGTGTTCAGGGCTGGGTCTATTCTCTCTGTGACTTCCTGGGTACTCTAATCCATTCTAACCAGTCTTTAAATACCATCTACTTGCTAATGATTCACAATTTATTTTTGGCCCTTTCAATGAATCCCTTATATATTCAGGTTTATATACTAAACTGCCTATTTGACATCTCAACGTGAATGCCTTAACATGTCCAGACTTAACACAACCACAGCTAAACCCTTGAGTCTGTCCTCTGACTCCCTTCTCCCCCCCAGAGCCTGACTGTGCCTCAGATTTCATCTCAGCAAATGATACTACCATCTACCCAGGTTTACGGGGAAAACTCTTGATTTTTTCTTTTTCCTACAACCACTATATTCATATCATCAGCAATTCTTGACAATTCCTTTCCTCTGTCTTTTTCTTTAGTATAGAAAGCCAGATTTCTGTGCAGTTAAAAATAGAATAGAAATATGTATGGTATGGTCAGTTTTATTTGAAGAATAACTTGTCCTAGCACATTGTTTAGATAAAATAACAGTGAAATTTATTTTGAAAGCTATGTTCAAATATACTTTAAAATGTAGGGTTTATCTCATGTTTATGGTAAGTGTTATGTGTAGTATTTTAGGGAAAACAATTACAAACTCAATTTTGAACAGTTTTCTAAGATGTATGGTTTTCTTTCTCAAAAATATCTTGAAACAATAAAATGTAATAACTGATTCATTTCAACAGAAAAAGATATATGGGCTATGATGATTAACAAAAAATATGTCATTTGTGTTTCATTGAATATTTAAGTACTGAACCATTATCAATGTTTCTATTTGTCCTGAAAACTGGCCTATTGAGCATTCCTTATCTTTTCTGTCAAGAAGCCATTCTGTTAATGTATCTATAATTTTTGTGTTTTTGTATTAACAGATTTGAAATATTTTGTCATTTTAAAATACCAAGAAAATATATTAAGTTTCATGAGAGTTTTCCTCCTTTTTCTTCTCTTTGAAAAGATGCATTGCCATTTGCTCCCTTGGGGTCTGGATATGTGAAGAGCTTGCGCAATGTACGAGCCATCCTCAGGTGAAAGAGGCCATCAATGTGATAGGCGTAACTCTGAAGGTATCACCAGTTTGTGATGTTTATTTGACAGTAAGCTATATTCCAGGCATTTAGCAGTTTTAGTTTGAATTAGCCCCATTTTTATCGTCCCTTCCATTACAGAGAGGTTGTGATTCGAAATTCTTTCTCTGACAGCATATGAATGCTGGGAGGTTTCCAGGAGGGGCCACCAATGGCTGCTTCCCCATTGGCAGATGCAGCCAGGCCGCCAGTAGCCTGGGTGTTCCTGGACCAAGCCCAGTGGCCAAATGGGGTTCCTCTGGTGGCTGGGAAGCTCCTGTGGCAAAGAGGACACCTGTCACCTGTTGATGGAAAGTGGGATTTTGTGCCATGGCCTCTTCTGCAGGCCTGGGAGAGGCCTCTGCAGCTTCCAATTAGGGGCCCTGAGTGTTCACCATCCAGCTGAACTTTGGGCACTATTAGGACATCTTCCTCTCCTTGTTAACGAGAAGAAGAGCTGCCATTTAGTGTTCACTCATGCTGTGCCAGAATAACGGTCAACTCTGAATACTCTTGTTAATCTCACGTCAGCTCTGCAAAGTAGATGTTATAATCCCTACTTTATGCCAGAGGAAGTCAAGGCCCAAAGAAATTAGGTCGCAATCCCAGTATCATGCAGGTGTAAGTGATAGAACCAGCATTGAAAGCAGATCTGCCTGGCATTAAGGACATAATTGAACTTTCACAAGTACTGTCAGGCTGCTTCCTCATCCTGAGCTCCAATCCTGCTATGTCTTTTCCTGGCTCCTGCTTAGAAACGGTGGTAATAATTAGCGTTGCCATTTGTACTTGCGAATCAGTGAGTGCCTCGCCTCGTCTCTGCCAGGCACTGTGCTGAGGGTTTGTGGAAGTTCTCAGTTCAAAGGTAAGTGTCCCCATTTTACCAGTAGAGGAACAGGAGTACAGGAGAGTTAAGGAACTTGCTTAAGCCTCTAGAGCAACCACCTAGCCAAGCCGTAGTTCAAACCCTGAGCCATCCATCTGACACCAGTATCTAGTCTCTTGCTTGCCCATCTCTGCTGCGTGCTTGCTAAAGTGAAAAAAAAGTTGGATATGAATTGTATATCAATGTGGATACCAACTCATTTTTGAAATATCCTTTCTGAATTCTAAGATCTTTCAAATTTTAACTTTTCTTAAATCTACATGTATGTAGATTTACATGTAGACAATCTACATGTATGTAGTTAATGTAAGTTGGTTCTCCCACCTCTACCCCTTACCTGGCAAAACTTTTAATAACTTGATGGTATCTTAGAATGAAAGACATATATATATATACACACACATATACATACACACACACAAATACATGCATACACAGAGTCATGTGTTGCTTAATGATGGGGATATGTTCTGAGAAAGTATTTTAGGTGATTGCATCATTGTGCAAACATAGAGTGGACTTATGTGAACCCAGATGGTGTAGCCTACTATACACCTAGGCTATATGGTATAGCCAGCCTATTGCTCATAGGCTACAAACCTGAACAGCATGTTACTGTACTGAATACTGTAGGCAGTTGTAACTCAATGGTAAGTATTCATGTATCTAAACATATCTAAACATGAACAGGTACAGTAAAAGTATGGTATTATAATTTTATGGGCCCACCATCATATATGCAATCCATCATTGACTGAAACATTGTCATGCGGTACATGACTATATATTTTTTACATAGTATAGAAGAGAGATGGAAATTGTTGACAAAGTGGAGGAATAGAATAGTAGAGTGATAAATTTTCTTCTTTGTATTTCTACAAATCTGCAAAAGGTAAGGCACAAGAAAAAATTCAATTACCGCATATTGAACTCTTTGTCAGGCACAGTGTGTGGTTGTCCCATTGAATCGTCCCCCACTCTGGATAGATACTATTGTTCTCATTTTAGAAATAAAAAAAAAAAAGGACTGAGGAAGGTCAAGGGACTGGCTTCAGCTCAAACTGCTAAGAATTCAGAGGGCCAGGATGCAGCCAGGCAGGTCTGCCTTTAACCATTGTTAATAACAGAGGAAAACTCATCGACTTCAGTCCTGGTTCCTCCCTCATGCCCTCTGATTCCCGGGCTGCTGTGCCAGCTGGGTTATTTTACTTTAGGACATAGTGCATACATCAAAGAACTGAGGACTAGAAGTGAAAGAGTTACTGCAAGAAACAAGGGAACAGCAACGACTTTGAGAAGAGGGGCCTTGGGGAGGCTTTAGGGCTCTGCCAGGAGGGAAAGAAATGAAATGAAGGAAGAGGAGAAGGCAGCAGGGGCCTCACCCCACCCCGCCCCCAGCCCAGCCTGCTGTGTGGGCAGCAGAGAGCACAGTTCTGGGAAGAGCTTCCTGCCTTATGGGCTCCACGCAGCTCTAGCCTCGCCTTGTGTGCCCTTCAGAAACCTTCCGCAAGGGTGACCCAGGTGTGCAGTGGATGTGAGAGGGCACAGCCAACCATGGGCTGGGGAGGTTTTCCCTGAGGGGTACTGATAGAAACCCACCTTGGGCCACAAGCAGTGGGTGGGAATGGTGCAGCCGGGCTGCTGCCCAGATGTTTGTTCATCCATGGTAGGGTAGCAGGTGGGTGGCAGGTATACAGTGGCTGAGGGGTTGGTTCTGAGCCACCGCCCTACCAGCTCTCAATGTCCCTTCCTGGAGGATGTTGGCCATGTGCTGCAGAGTGAGTTAGGCCAGGACTCAGGTGAGGTGCCCACGCCTGGTCCTCTTCCTGCCCCATATTCCTAGGTGTCATTGACTTTCCTCCTTCTTACCCTACCGTGGCTTCCAGGCTTGAGTCTTGCTGGTTGTACCCCCGGAACATCCCACGCTCCATCCCACCTATTGCTCCGAGTCCATCTTTCACACAGCTCACTCTGCTGGTTACTGAGCCCCTTGGCCAGGGTCACCAGCCCTAGTCTCGCCCCCACAGACCCACCCTCCATACTGCGGTCAAAGGGATCGTCCATGCACAGGTGTGACCAGCGCAACCCACAGGCTGGAGTACAAGGCATGGCGTTGAGAGACATACATAGGTGAACAGGCCCCTGCCTGCCCCCATGAGACTGTCAGTTCCTCAGGTGTAGGGGCTTTATCTGTCTTTACTTCTCTGCTCTTGGCTCAGTGCTGGCACATTGTCAGTACCCCATGACTGTGTGCTGTATGAATGAGTAAATGAATGACTTATTTAATCTCCACCATTCCCCACCTCACTCATCATGTATCAGTAACACCCTGCTGCTTCCAGCCACCTACATCTGAACGAACTTTCCCAGCCTTTTTGTCTTGTCTGGCGTAGCTCTCATCATTTCCCTCTTATCTGTTTCCAGCTTCTTGAGTTCAGAGCCTTGCCAGCCTTATCTTTCTGCCCTGTGACCACTTTAGTGTGGCAGCAGTGCCCTCAGTACCCACTCACATTCCCCCATTCCCTCCGTGTTTCATCTTCACCATCCTTCAGGGGCCATGCTAGGGATACAGTGGTGAACAAGAAAGGCAGGGAAATAACACACACAGAAGACCAGCTCTGATAGCCCTGAAAGCCATGAAAGAGATACAGCAGGGGAGCAGGACGAAGCTGGAGAGCTGGCAGGGTGGCTGCCACTCTTTGGATGGGTGTGGCAGTCTAATGGAGGAGATCTGAAAGAGGTAATGGTGCCAGCCATGTGCAGAACTGGGGAATGAGTATCTCGGCAAAGCCGGGAGCAAAAGCAAAGGCCTCGGGCAGGAACAAGCCAGAGTGTCTGAGGATGGAAAGAGGCTAGTGGAGATCAGGTCATCTCAGGTCTGGATGGCCAGGGAAGGCCATGAAGAGCCCCTTGTGTGCAGGGTCTACCACCCTGGTTTGCCTACTGCCTGTCAAGTGGGGGCAGTCAGTTAACTGTTTATTCTGTAGAATTTAAAATTAACCACCTTTCTCTTACCTTCTTCCTTATTCGGTGCATTTGTCACCGAGGTACTAGGCATTGACTTTTTGGTGTTGTTTATGTGGTGCATGTGTCAAGTGGAGTTAGCTTCATGTGACTTGGAGTGAGGTTTCCCTAGACCAAAGGACTCTGCTCTAGATAATGAAGTGTGGACAGCAGCATTGCCCCTCATCCCTCTCATGCACCCTTAGCATGAAAGAGTAAGACCTTGTAGGTATTGCCCCTTTAACTAGCCATCTCACAAGAAGTGGAAGCATCCAGAAGACCTTAGGGGTAACCTGAGACGCACACCAGCCTCAGGAAACAGACTGCAAATAATTCAGTGTACCATAACTTGTGAGTTATGTTCTCATAGTCTCTAGTTTTACACATTTCTTAGTATGTTATATAGTGAGTCGAGTTTTATCTCATAGGATAGAAAGTAATTTGATCAATCCCTGTTTCTCTATGTGTAAAACGAAAATAACATCTACCTTGCAGAGCTGTCAGTGAAGATTTATCAATGAGAGAAAGACTAAAATTTTTGTAAAAGGTTCAGCACACAGGGGATACTCAATAATGTACTACATTTTAACTTCCTCTAGTTGTCAAAAATGTGATTTATGTAAACCCACTAAGGAATTTGACATGGTTTTAATTTCCAATGATTAAATGCCAGCTACTTGTTTTTATAGAATGTTATGTGAATTAACACAACTAGGTTAGACAAGAGGCAATTATACAATGGTGGTATGATTATCTATAATCTCTATGGTAATAGGATATATTTTTCATCAATTCAATGTAAAACAAATAAATGTAATCTATATAGAAATAGGAAGAAATAACAGTTTTGTTCTTCCTTAAGAATAATGCACCTATTAAGTTATGTATTTATTTTGGAAACTTGTTTCCTTTTATAGTTTTCTAACAAAACCGTCGCTCAGGTAGCTTGTGATATTCTTCAGTTGCTGGTTTCCTACTGGGAAAAACTTCAGATGTTTGAAACCTCCCTCCCTCGGAAAATGGCAGAAGTAAGTCTTTTTTCTGTAATGCTCAAACATAAGCATTTCCTTTTTATCGTATTTGATATTTGATTACATATAGATACTCAAATAATTGTTAGAGAACCCCGACTATTAAATTGCCACATGAGTCACTCGTTTTAAGATGAAATCGGACTGGTTCTTCTCAGCTGTGATCTCAAGCACTCCGTAAAGAAGTCAGCAGTGTTCCAGGCAAAGGCTTATACTGGGGGAGTTTGAAAGGCAGACACAACAACAACAAAAAGACCTTTTATAGATTGGGCTACATTCATCAAGAGTAATTTGGATGGTGCCAACAAGGAGTAGGCAGCTGGTTATGATGCCCTGGGTGCAGGGGCGGAGGGGGTGGCTGCTGTGTAAAACAGGAGTCTCTCCCGGACTAAAGCCCTGGACCACACTTTCTGCCATAGCATGATTACCCAGCTGTAATGAGATTACTACTATAATAACCTCTGTGGAGGTAATTGGTGGGAGAGAGGGACAGAAGAAACAGGAAGAATCATTTTAGCAATATGCTGGAGGTCAGTTACATTCAAAGGTGCTTTGCTTATACATGAGCAGGTACCCTCACTCCCTTAGGTGTCTGGTGGTAAGGCACATCCATTCCTGCCGATTTTTATAGTTGCACTTTTAAAAATATGTCCTGTTCTTTATACATCCAGTGGTAACTCTTTGAGGGAATTTGATTTGTCCCTGTAAGGTCTTACAGGAAGAGAGAAGTGATACTGATGTATTTTCTCGCAGTGCTAGACAAATTTCACTGGTAAGATCACTTTGTTCTCTCAGAAACACATCAAAAGTCAAAAGCGATTTTTGACCTTAAGTAAAAAATAAAGCTTTGGACATAGAAAATGCTCCAAAATGTAAAGTAGTGTTTTAGGGTGACCATATAATATATCATCTAAATAGCAATTCTTTTGAGAATAGAAGGGGTGTTGGTACACCAGGGAAGCAGGTGGTGACTGTGGTAATTTATAAGAAAATTAAATGGGAGCATTTTCATAATTTTTTCTTTTTTCCCTTTCATCATCATTCTCAACATAATTATTTTTGAAAGTATTTTTTGACTTCACTGTGAGAAATATGGAGACTGATGGTAGAAATTATGTGACTACAGAGAGAAATATTCCTTTGTCTGGGGTCCCCCAATTTCCCCACTAGTAGAGTAGAGTCCAGGCTTTTTGTCACCTTCCTCTAGTGAGTTGGCACCAAGCTGGGTTTAGATGCAAGGTCATCTCGGGACTCTTAACATAGGCTTCCAAAATTATTACTATGGTCTGTTTGATTGTTGATTTATTTTTCATACAGATCCTCGTGGCCACAATTGCTTTTCTTTTACCAAGTGCAGAGTACTCCTCAGTGGAAACAGACAAGAAGGTAGGTGGCAGATTAGCTGAGTTTTCCCTAGATGTTTTTTTTTAATAAGATATATAATAATATTACAGGTAGTGATATCCTTTATAATATCCTTCTATATTGGCCTTAACAAGTCGTTCCTGTGAAAACACTATTTATTTACTTACTTACCTACCTACCTACCTTGCATTTGCACGTCCATTGAATAATTACTGTATGCAGGGACAATTCTGTTATTTATTATTACAGGTAGTGAGGTTTAAAGTGTAAGTTACTTGACATATTTTTCTTCCAGTTCATTGTGTCCTTGCTCCTCTGCCTCTTGGACTGGTGCATGGCATTGCCGGTGAACACCCTTCTCCACCCGGTGTCCACAGTGGTCCTCGAGGAGCAGCACTCATCCAGAGCCCCCTTGCTGGATTATATCTACAGGGTGAGCTTCCACCTGGGCCTCGGGGCATGGAGTGTGGATTTATGTGTCAGAGAACTACCAAAATGTTTTATGCATTTACTTATTTATCATTGCCCTTTTGAAAGAATGTGTGATGGGATTAAACATTTAAAAAAAAATTAAGGATTGAAAAGCAGAACGGAGGTATTTGTAGAGAAGCAGTGGTTACTAAGTTAAAGGTGCATGCATTTTTACATGACTGTCATCTTTAATCTTTAAACAACTGCAATTTGGTCAGAAACCCCCAGTTTTCATGGAACATAGTCTACTTTGTTTAAGAAAGAACTGTTTATATTATAGGAATATCTACAGCATTAGTTTTTCTCCTTTCCTCACTCCCGGCCAAATAGCTTCTCTTTAAATTAATTATTAATTTATTTTATTGATACATATTAGATGTCTGTATTTTCAGGGTACATGTGTATAATTTGATACTGTCATATATAATCAAATCAGGAAAATTGGGATATCTGTTACCTCAAATATTTATCTTTTCTTTATGGTAGGAATGTTCAAATTATTCTCTTCTAGCTCTTTTGAAATGTACAATTAGTATTAACAATAGTCACCCTACTGATGTATTGAACACCAGGTCTTATTTCTTCTATCTAAGTGTATGTTTCTATATAGCATTAGTTTGACAAAATTTGTTTATCAAAGGAAGAAAGAGGTATAATGGTCCCAATAATCTCTTTGCCTTAAAAAATCTGAAGAAATAAATTAAGAAAATATATCACATCAAAGTAATCAGCCTTATCATTATTTAAAATATTCTATAATATTATTTAAAATATTCTTTTTTCAATGCCCTGGTACCCCAATGTATGACTAGGTGTGGCATTTACTCTAGACTATTTATAATGTCCTAAATGGTCTCTCAAACTTTGTTTATAATTTACATGTCTGTTGAATAATTGCTATTATTGATAAAAATTGGGTTTTTTTAGTAACAAACTTTTAATTAAAAGAAAGACTCCAAGTCAGAAAGTGATTGCTTTGTTGCCTTATTGTAAAATATATTTAATTTTTTTAAAAAATCACTTAACCATGGTTGAAATTCTACTAAAAATTATTTGTGTATTTTTAGTAACAAACAACTTTTTCAATGGTCAAAGATTCTAATAAGTATATTAGGATTAATCAGATACTTCTGTTATCTTCGTTGCTTATAAACCTGTATGAGGCATGGCTTGGGCCAACTAAATTAGCCAATCATTTTATATTCATCTCTTTTCTGACTCATTTATTTTCTTAAAAAGATTTCTCTTAAAATTGCTTTACCAATATAAAAGTCGCCTCATAGTAAACATGATTCATACATTTATTGAACAACTCTTGTATTTTTAAAGTACACTTTTAATCGAACTATAACATGCTTCCAGAAAACTGAATCAATCTGTAAGAGAGAGCTTGATGAATTCTTACAAAGTGGATAAGCACACCTATAAAATCAGAGCTGAGATCCTGGAGCAGAACATTCCTAGCATTTCAGAAGCCCCCACTGTGCCTCCTCCTAGCCCCTAAGTCTACATACATGCCTCAGAGTGACCACTATCCTGCCTAACACCATAGATTAGTTTTGCTTATTTTTGAACTTTATATAAATAGAATCATACAGTATGTCCTCTGGTGTCTGACATCTTTCATTCAACATTATTTTTTGAGTGATTTTTTTCATACTTTTGTCCGTAGTTGTAGATTTTTTGCTCTTGCTATATAGTATCATATAGTGAGAATAAACCACAATTTATTTATCCATTTTACTGTTGATAGACTTCTTACCCAAACCTGTTTAGAGTTTTGAACCATAAAAAAAGTCCTGTGAACATTCAAGTACTTTTTTGTGAGGGGCGGCAGTATGCATATGTATGCATTTCTGTTGGCTGTATACCTAAGAGTGGAGTTCCTGAAATACACGTGTTCTACCTTGATAGTGAACACCAAATAATTTTCCAAGAGGTTGTGCTAATTTGCACTGTCACCAACAGTCTGAGAATTACAGCTGCTATGCATTCTTGATAACAGTTGGTGCTATCAGATAGGTATATAATGGTATTGTCTTGTGGTTTTAATTTGTATTTTTTTACATTTAGTGGATTTTGACTAATAGAAATTAGTTCTCTCAATGACACAACCTCAATTTTTACATTAATAAGAGAGCCACCATAAACATTTTTCTATACTGATTTTTTGTTGGAAGAGGACATATTTGGTGGCCACCCCTGCCGACTACAATCTTTGGTAGTTTTTAGCCATATACAAAGAGTACCTGATCACAAGCTCTCCTGCCATGTGAGCAAACCAAAGCTAGTCATCTAAAATTGAATTTAGTTTATATAAATATATTTAACTCAAAGATGTTTCTTTAGTTACCTTGGTTTTTATAAAAATCAGCTTTGAATTTATGATCTTGAATTTATGATTAAAAAGTAAAATTTGTTACAATTATTATCTCATTTATACATTTTGGGCTATTCAAGACGATTTGCATTCGCATAGCATGTATGTGTACAAAAGCTCAAATGAGCATATAGAACTTCAACCAACTGCAATTTGTAGACAACCAGTGAACTTTTAAGAATCTAATGTTGCAAAAAAACAAGAATACTTTAAAAATTGTATTAAGTTAGCTCTTATAATTCATGGGATCAAGTTACCAGATTTAAACTAATGACCAGTCATGAAGTGCACTAATGGCCTCTGCTTGTTGTGCTCATTCTGCCGTCCACCACAAGTGGCTTATCCCATTTCCGCTCTATAGTTCCTTCTACTTGTGTCACTGTTCGTGGACTTGGGAGGAATTAGATATGTGTAGTCACACAGGATGGTGAAATAAGCACTTGTTCACTTTTGCTTTCTTTTTGCCTTGAGAATATATTTATTGGCATTGATGTGAAAGGAGCAAAATAAACTCGCTAATAGCAAGAAGATATTTAAGAATGGATGGCTGGGCGGGGTGGCTCACACCTGTAATCCTAGGCACTCTGGGAGGCCGAGGTGGGAGGATCGCTCAAGGTCAGAAGTTCAAAACCAGCCTGAGCGAGACCCTGTCTCTACTAAAAATAGAAAGAAATTAACCCACCAACTAAAAATACATATACAAAAAATTAGCCTATACAAAAAATTAGCCGGGCATGGTGGCGCATGCCTGTAGTCCCAGCTACTCGGAAGGCTGAGGCAGGAGGATCGCTTGAGCCCGGGAGATTGAGGTTGCTGTGAGCTAGGCTGACGCCATGGCACTCACTGTAGCCTGGGCAACAAAGTGAGACTCTGTCTCAAAAAAAAAAAAAAAAGAATGGAAATGATTTGATATTTTCAAGTCTTCCCAAGCAGGAGTCCTAGCTCCTAAGTGCTGTGGTAGTTTGACAGATTATGTTTTTACAGGTTCTACACTGTTGTGTTTGTGGCTCGAGCACGTACACCCAACAGAGTCACTACACCCTGACGCTGGCTGACTTGTCATCCACGGATTACGACCCCTTCCTACCACTGGCAAATGTGAAGAGTTCTGAGCCAGTCCAGTATCATTCATCAGCAGAATTGGGTAACCTGCTGACTGTTGAAGAGGGTGAGTGTTCTTCCAAACGTGAATCTCTTCGGAAAGATTGTAGCCTTTTGTCCATGCATGCTTGTGTTATCTTTTAAAAATCTAGTTGTTGAAGTTGAAATCCTGGTTCCTAGGGTCCTCTTTGATGGCAAAATCTGTCTCATTGCTTCTTTTTTCTCCTCTCTTCCTCTGGTTTTCCATCTTTGTTACTGAATTGGTTTTTGTGTTAATATTATTGAGGACCTATATGTCTCATATCTATGGAACTCACAAAAAGGCTCAGGTAAATTTTTCCATAACCTTATGGAGAGAAAGGTTGTTAAGACCTCACTTGATAACATTTCTGTTACATTTCTTTTTGTGACGGACTTACAGAAAAATAGAAGTCTGTGTCACCTAATCTATCTGCATGGGGCAGTCCAGCTCAGCATCTCTCCAGTAACCTGGAGACTCTCCTCAAGCAGGACTTCCTCAGACTCCTTCCCCTGGAGTTCAGTTTTCATTTATTAAAATGGCTCGATCCTCAGACTTTAATTACATGTGGCCTCATCTCTAAGCAGCAGAGTAAGGTGATGAGTGCCTGTTACAGAGGTGTGGCAGACTGCTTGTAAAAAATTGGGCTGACAGATAGATGATTCTGTTCGGGATGCTTTGCACTGGAAGGAGGTGTATTTGAAAGCCATTTTGAGAATGGAGCACTGGAGGACCATGAAGCCTTTGAAACCTCATCACTAATTCGGCACAGTACCGGAGTGTCTGCACCTTACTACAGAGATGGACTTCTCTGTACAGAGTCGGATGGCTTGTCTGCAAAGCTGTGGGATGTGAGCACAGGACAGTGTGTTTATGGCACCCAGACTCACACTTGTGCAGTGGTGAAGTTCGATTAACAGAAGGATGTGACGGGCTCCTTTGATGATACCATGGCCTTCTGGGAGTGGAGTTCTGGAGCCAGAACCTAGCACTTCCGGGAGTACGTGGGGTTGCCCTTTTCCAAGAGTTTTTAAAATTACTTTAGCCTCATCCCTTAAAGCCAAGAGCCAAGAATATGAAACCTTTTTTTTTTTTTTAATTTAACCTGTCTTTATTTCCTCTTTAACAGTCATTGCACTTATTTCTGTTATTCTTATTTGGAATGTTTTCCTGAATTTTGCTTCTTCTTAGCCCATTTTAAAACTCTTCTGTGTACCCTTATGCTGAGAGAGGTAGTTTTCCTTCTCTCCTATTTCATTTATATCCTGGTGAGTAGTCAGTCCCCTTTGCTTTTATCAGATTCCATATCTCCAAATTGAGTAAGTCTTATACGTGTCAATTCAGTCCACTCTGTTGGCAGAATTAGGGCTGAAAGTCCTTTGGATTAATGGTGGTTCCCAGATTGTGTGGTCCACACATATTATATCCAGTTGGAGCTTGGCTGACAATTGATTAGAACAAGCTATCACTTAGAGATAAGGTGAAAGAAACAGGTACCTGAATGTTTCCTAATAAATGTAAATCAGCCTTATTTTGCAGAAAACTGGTCATTTGAATGCAGCCTTGAAGCTTGAGCTTCTCCCGCTGTTACATTTTATTTTGGAGTTTTGTGTAGAAACTGTATTGAGCTATTTCCTACCCTCTTGTACAGCAGCTCCCTTCTTCTTTTCCCTGTTTACCTACTGTGTTAGCCTCTGAGAGTCATAGTCTATGCTGTTAAGCATCCCATGTATGAGCAGCTCCCGGGACTCCCTAAACAGGTTGGGTCCCTCTCATGTAGGTGTACCAATAACCTCTATTACCATCATACCACTCACCGTACAAGTAGGTATGGTCATCTTACTTCCCCACCAGACTCTAAGCTCCTTAAGGACAGCGATCCTGCCTGTCTTGTTCACCCTTACATCGTGAGTTCATTGTGCTGTACCTGGTGCTCAGTAATTCTTTGAAGTAAACCTAGCTGCTTTACTGATTAAAAAAAAACCAAATGTTTTTAGTTTACCTTCCTATACATTCTTCTTCAGCCTTTGGTATCTGCTACCATTCATTCATTTGTTTTAGAAATTAATATTTAAAGGTGCATGATTTAGTATGGAGCTTATATATATATTAAACTGAGTGTGATAGCCCAAAAATAAATAAATAAATAATTTGGGGCATTGCATTTCTTAGTTGTGTGGAAATCATACATGCTTCTACTGGGGTTGGGGAAGAAGAGCTTAATTTCAGAGACAGATAGATGTTGATGACCTGCTTCTACAAAATGAGTTTTTTGATAAGAAATTTTGTTTTGCATTAGCGAATGTAGATGATTTCTTATGCATTCAAAAGAAAAAATTAAGAAATCCAAGAAAACTCAGGATAATCTGATTCCCCTCAGTCATTACACAGAATTTTTTAGATTCTGGGATTTGCTTGTTTCTTTCTACGATATATACATCATAAAATTGGTGTGTTGTAAGTAAGTTGTTAGGATTTTTCATGTCTGGGGAGGTGTTTAGCATGAAAAAGCATACTTACAGTTATTTATGTTTTAATTAATATTTGGTTTTTCATGTTGTGAAGTAGTAATTTCAATATATACTTGTGGATTTAGTTTATCTGCCTCTTCCTTATACCTCATTTTATAAGGCCCATTTTATACATACTCTTGCCAAAGTCTTCTTATACATTTTAAGTATTAAAAATTTTGCAAATCATTTTCTCTTTGGCATTTAATTATAAACTACAAATTTATTTAAAGCCACTTAAGTATTTCCATGAATTGTTAGTATGTCAGATTCTCTTAAATATTTAAAATGTCCTAACAACAAAACATAAATTATCACAATGATTACCAAACAAATTGCTTCAATATATTTAAACAGTCACAAGCTTGATCCATTTTTTTTTAAATCGGGTCTACGTTTACCCTACTGTGGGGAGCAAGGTAACCTATCTGGTCCACTCCCCAAGACCCCAGTCACCCTTCTGACTATGATTTTTGCTCTCACCAGTGCTCTCTGAACTGTCAGCTCTTTAAGGACAGAGGTATTTCTCTTTTGTTTATAGTCGTATCTACAGATTTTTAAATGCCCCTCTCAGAATGAAACCTTCATGTAAGTTGATTCTTTCAGCAATCTATTTAAATTGTGCTTTTAAATTCAAATAGAATTAGTGTCAACAAAGAAAATAGGGTGAAAAAATTCTCAGACTTGAAAAATCAGACATTCTAAGTACACACTAAAATCTGGTGAGGTTCAGTTTTCATCTTTATTTGCTACTGCCTGTTTATGTTTCTTTACTGCCGTTTACAGAGAAGAAGAGAAGGAGTTTGGAGTTGATCCCCCTGACTGCCCGAATGGTGATGGCCCACCTGGTGAACCACCTGGGACACTACCCCCTCAGCGGGGGCCCTGCCATGCTGCACAGCCTTGTCAGCGAGAACCATGACAATGCCCATGTGGAGGGCTCTGAGCTGTCCTCTGAGGTGTTCAGGAGCCCAAACCTGCAGCTGTTTGTCTTTAATGATAGCACCCTTATCTCCTACCTTCAGACGCCCACGGAAGGACCCGCAGGCGGATCACCAGTGGGCGCCCTCTCCGATGTGAGAGTGATCGTGAGGGATATCTCAGGGAAGTATTCTTGGGATGGTAAGGTTTTATATGGACCTTTGGAAGGCTGCTTAGCACCCAATAGAAGAAATCTTTCATTCCTGATTTCGGGCTGGCATAATCACACATTTGGACCTCAGAAAGATTTTTCTCAAATTGAGGAGGGAGATGATGCCCTTGACAAATTACTTGAAAACATCGGCCACACAAGTCCTGAATGCCTTCTACCATCACAGCTAAATCTAAATGAGCCTTCCCCACCCCCACGTGGAATGAACTGTGACCAAGAGAAGGAAATCATTGAGGTCATTTTGCGCCAAAGTGCTCAGGAAGATGAGTATGTCCAGAGATGTAACTCTGATTCTTCGATGAAAGTCACCAGCCAAGGACAGCCCTCACCAGTGGAGCCCCAAGGACCCTTTTATTTCTGCAGGTTGTTGCTCGATGACTTGGGGATGAATTCTTGGGACAGAAGGTAATAATCCACACTAGTCCTCCAACTATTTTATCGTCATTTTCATGTGGTTTTTCTCTTAATCAATTTGCAGTTAGAGAAGAAGAAAACAAGTGTAGAACTTTCTCTATATCCACATTTACACCTTATTTTCTGCTGCTGAATTTAAGCCAGAAATGAAACTAATTGTGCTGTACTGGTATACAGATTGAATTGCAAACATCTGTTGGATATTTTAAAGGGTATCAAGCATTTTCTCTGTGTGTCTGTTAGCGTGTGTGTGTGTGTGTGTGTGTGTACATATGTATGTATGTGTGTGTGTTTAATTACTTCTCTGTCCATTATTATTTCTACCTTCATGCAAAAAGCGGATATACTACAAAGGTTTAGGACTAAACCACAGTCTAACCTTAGGTCTGATAAGGGAAGAAGACTTGTTACAACTCTGATAAAGGATAGAATGACAAATGAGTTAAAGAGGAACGACTAAATCCTATGGGAAGTGCAGAACAATGGAAAAGACTTTGTGGAAGAAGATGGATTTGAGTTGGACGCTGATAGGAGTTTTTAAGGATAGAAGTGGGAAAAACAGATTCACAGCAAAACTGACAATGAAAACAGAAAGACAGGCACATGCACACAAGCCACACACTGAGAGCTGCAGGGCCATTGGTATCTCTGGATAATAATGGGATGTGGTGGAATTTTTATGCCTTTACGTGTTTTAAGGAGGATGAGCTCATACTGTACATTTCTATCACAAATCTTTTGTGAGCGAGCGGTAGATGATGGGTGATAGGTAGGTTTATTAATTGATTGATTGATTGATTGATTGAAAAGCAGCAAAATTGATCTGTGATCACAGTTTTCTTCCATCTGTTTATAGGAAGAATTTTCATCTGTTGAAGAAAAATTCAAAATTATTGAGAGAGCTAAAACATCTGGACTCCCGTCAGTGGTATGTAAAAGTATATCAAACCACTTTTTTCCTATTTGTCTTTGGGTATGCTTGGATAACACATATGGCTGCAGGAATTAACATACCTACAGAGACATCCAAGGATAATTCTTTAACCTAAAATCTGATGACATCTGCACATGCCATACCTTTGTTATTTTTACCCTTGAGGAATAAACTTTCATGTTTGCTACTAAAAAGAGGTTAGTGCTCCCCCCTAATCTGACGTTAACAGCCTGTGGTTGCTCATACCATGTTATTTGAAGCCCAGTGAGTCTGACTTCATGTCCATGCTGTGCACCAAGGCACTGGCATTCTATAGTCTTGGCTTTTTAATGATGGATGGGTTAAAAACTGTGTGTTGTGATAATTAACTCCATTAATAAGATTTATTCTCCAAAGCTAGTCCAATTGTCAGATGTACCCCTTTTCTATATAATCTCAAAAGCATTTCTAAACATGAGCTCACAACAGTAAAAAGGTTTTGATTTGGGTAAAACATGCTTCCAAAACCATCTAAGTCAAGAATAAGTATAGTACTTGGTATATAACAAGTGCTCAAAAGTCTTGAAAAAGAATAAATTTGTTTCTTAATCTTGAGATTTTTTTAAAATCTTTTTTAAAAAAAACAACTTTGTTCCCCTTTTATTACCTTTCTTATCTTTAGGTATATCCTAATATTCCATCAGCTATTAAATAAAAAATTCAGATTGTTTTCCTCAAGTTTACTTTTCAACTCTTCATGGTATATTTTATTCATAACATTTTCTTATTCCTTCTTAACTCCTAAATTTTTAAATATCTTTTGAGCTATGTGCTTTTAGAGGGCAGTACAATTGCTGGCTGAGAAAGCAAGGAGGAAGAAAGGAAATAACAGAGTCCTGCTTTATCTTGACAAGTCCTTTTGTAGCATTTGCGAAATTACTAGAGCTCTTTATTTCATTCATTCATCCATCCACTGTCATGCTTCCCTTTTAAGGCATAAGGTTCTCCTGCTTGGCACTTACAGTGATGAGTTATGACCTGCTGAGCAAATACTTTCACCATTGTGTGTATTTAGGAGGCTTTGTCATGGTTTTCGTTGTTTAGTTTATTTTATTTTTAAAAACTTTTTACTGTTAATTATTATGGGTACATAATAGTTGTATGTATTTATAGCGTGCATGTGATGTTTTGAAATAGGTATACAAAGTGAATTAATCAAATCAGTGCAATTGGGGTATCCATCATCTCAGGCATTTATCATTTCTTTGTGTTAAGAACATTCCAATTTCATTCTTAGTTATTTTAAAGTATACCATAACTTATTGTTGATGATAGTCACTTTTATTCTATCCACTATATTTTTGCACCCATTAACCATCCCCACTTTATCCTTCCCTCCCTACTACCTTTCCCAGCCTCTAATAACCATTGTTCTACTCCGTGTCTCCATGAGACCAATGGGGTTTTTTTGCTTTTTTTTTTTTTGAGACAGAGTCTCACTTTGTTGCCCAGGCTAGAGTGAGTGCCATGGCGTCAGCCTAGCTCACAGCAACCCCAGTCTCCTGGGCTCAAGCAGTCCTTCTGCTCAGCCTCCCAAGTAGCTGGGATTACAGGCATGCGCCACCATGCCCGGCTAATTTTTTGTATATATATTTTTAGTTGGTCAATTAATTTCTTTCTATTTTTAGTAGAGACAGGGTCTCGCTCTTGCTCAGGCTGGTTTCGAACTCCTGACCTCGAGCAATCCGCCCGCCTCGGCCTCCCAGAGTGCTAGGATTACAGGCATGAGCCAACGTGCCCAGCCTGAGATTTGTTTTTTAATATTTAGCTTCCATGTATGAGTGAGAACGTGAGCTTTGTCTTTCTGTGCTTGACTTATTTCACTTAACTTAATGTTCTCTAGTTTTACCCATGTTGTTACAAATGGTAGGAGTTCCTTTTTATAGCTATATAATATTCCACTGTATATATGTACCCACAATTTCTTTATTCATTCATCTGTTGACCAACACTTAAGTTAATTCCAAATCTTGGCTGTTATGAATACTGCTGCAGTAAACATGGGAGTGCAGATATCTTTTTTCGATATACTGAATTCCCTTCTTTTGGATATATACCTAGCAGTGGGATTGCTGGGTCATATTGTAGTTCTATTTTTAGCTTTTTGAGGAACCTCCATACTGTTCCCCATAGGAGTTGCACTAGTTTACATTCCTACCAACAGTGTACAAGGGTTCTCCTTTTTCCACATCCTTGCCAGGTTTCATTGTTGACTCTCTTTTTGATAAAAGCCATTTTAACTTGAGTGAGATGATATCTTACTGTAGTTTTAATTTACATTTCTCTGATGACTAATGATATTGAACATTTTTTCATGTACTTGTTGGCCACTTGTATGTCTTCTTTTGAGAAATGTCTATTCAGATCCTTTGCCCATTTTTAATTGGATTATTTGATTTTTTCCCTGTTGAGTTCTTGGAGCTCCTTATGTATTCCAGTTATTAATCCCTTGTCAGATGGGTAGTTTGCAAATATTTTCTCCCATTCTGTGTGTTGTCTCTTCATTTTGTTGATTGTTTTCTTTGCTGTACAGAATCTTTTTAGCTTAATGTTGTCCCATTTGTCAAATTTGTCTTTGGTTGCCTGTGCTTTGGGTGTGTTATTAAAGAAGTCCCTGCCCAGACAAATGTTCTGAAGTATTTACTAATGTTTTCTTTTAGTAGTTTCATAGTTTCAGGTGTTATATTTAAGTCTTTAATCTATTTTGATTTATTTTTTATATGGTGAGAGATAAGGGTCTAATTTCATTGTTCTGCATGCAAATATCTATTTTCCCAGCAATGTTTATTGAAGAGACTGTCCTTTCCCCACTGTATGTCCTTGGCAACTTTGTCAAAGATAACTTCACTATAGATGTGTGGATTTATCTCAAAGAACTAGAAAAATAAGAGCAAACCAAACCCCAAATTAGTAGAAGAAAAGAAATAATAAAGATCAGAGTAGAAACAAATGAAACTGAAACAAAAAAACACAAAAGATCAATGAAATGAAAAGTTGGTTTTTTGAAAAGATAAACAAAATTGACACATCTTTTAGCCAGGCTAACTAAAAAAAAACAAAAAGAAAACTCAAATCAAATAGAAAAATCAGAAATGAAAAAGGAGACATTACCACAGATGCTGCAGAAATTCAAAGGATCATTAGAGACTACTATGAGCAACTATGTCAATAAATTGGAAAACCCAGAAGAAATGGGTAAATTCCTAGACACATACAACCTACCAAGATTGAACCAGAAAAAAACGCAGAATGTGAATAAAGCAATAACAAGTAATGAGGTAGAAGCGGTAATAAGAAGTCTCCCATCAAAGAAAAGCCCAGGACCCAATACTTCACAAGTATTCAAAGAAGAACTGATACCAAGCCTACTTAAACTATTCCAACAGATCAAAGAGGAGGGAATACTCCCAAAAGTATTTGAACCCATATCACCCAAATACCAAAACCAGACAAAGACACAACAAAAAAAGAAAACTGTAGCACAATATTGCTGATGAACATAGATATAAAAATCCTCAATAAAATACTAGCAAACTGAATTCAACAATACATTAAAAAGATTATTTATCATGATCAAGTGGGATTTATGCCAGGGATGCAAGGATTGTTCAACATATGCAAATCAATCAATGTGATAGATCATATCAATAGACCGAAGGACAAAAACCACATGATCATTTCAACTGATGGTGAAAAAGCATCAATTCAACATCCCTTCATGATAAAAACTCCCAAAAAACTGGATATAGAAGAAACACCTCAACACCATAAAAGCCATATATGACAGACTCACAGCTAGTATCATATTGAATGGGGGAAAACTGAAAGCCTTTCCTCTAAGATCTGGAACGAGACAAGGATGCCCACTTTCACCACTGCTACTCAATATAGTACTGAAAGTTCTCACTAGAGCAATCAGACAAGAGAAAGAAAGAAATGGCATCCAAACTGGAAAGGAAGAAGTCAAATTATTCCAGTTTGCAGATGATATGATTTTATATTTAGACAAACCTGAAGACTCCACACAAAAAACATTAGAACTGATTTAAATAATTAAGTAAAGTTGTAGGATACAAAATCTACATACAAAAATCGGTAGCATTTCTATATGCCAATAGTAAATGATCTGAAAAAGAAACCAAGAAAGTAATCCCATTTACAATAACTACTAATAAAATAAAATACCTAGAAATAAACTTAACCAAAGTTGTGAAAGATCTCTATAATGAAAAGTATAAAACATTGATAAAAGAAGTTGAAGAGCACACAAAAAATGGAAAGATATTCCCTTGTGGATTAGAAGAATCAATATTATTAAAATACCCATACTACTGAAAGCAATTTGTAGATTCAGTGCAATTCCCATCAAAATACCAATGGCATTCTTCACAGAAATAGAAAAAAATAATCCTAAAATTTATATGGAACCACAAAAGACCCAGAATAGCCAAAGCCATACTGAGAAAAAAGAACAAAACTGGAGGAATCACATTACCTGATTTCAAATTATACTGCAGAGCTATAGTAACCAAAACATAATGGTACTAGCATAAAAACAGGCACATAGACCAATGGAACAAAATAAAGAACCCAGAAATAAATCCACACATTTATAGTGAACTTATGTTTGTTGTTTATTTTAGAGTTTTGATTAAAACTCAGGGTCACACATGGTTAAATTTTATTTTTAAACTATTAGTTTAAACCAATTTAAACTATTGGTTCTTATTACTATTATTGGCATATCAGCTTTACAACTGTGATTCTTCTTTGGTGGTTCGAATTCTTTAACTGGATATATACCTGACAACTAGTAAATTCCAGTTGGAATTTTCTTTTAAATGCTTGGAAGATGATTTTTGAAAAAGGTTCTTTTGTAATGTCACTAAGGACTGAACAAGTAAAATCATACTAAACTTGCTCGTAGCTCTGTGTCCTTCCAGAGGCATCTAGTATTAAGACGGATTGATTTGTATTGACCACTCTATGAGAATCAGAGGGGTAGAGGTTTTCTTTCCTTTTCTTTCTTTCTTTTTTTTTTCTTTTCTCTTCTTCACTTTTGTACCTTTCCACCTGTCTCCCTAGTCACTCAGGATCTCTTATAGCATCTTATAGCTATCCACATAATGAAACCTGGACATATGAGTCTTGGGAGTGTACCAGCATGGCTGTTCTGAACCCGATTCCCTCCGCAAACGGAGATATGAGGGTCTTTTCTTCTAGGTGAACTTACTATTCTCTGGAGAGTGATAAATATTTTTAGTTTCAAGAAAAGGGATTTTTTAAAAAAGAAATATACAGCATTAGAATGTTCACTTGTAAATATACTTGGGGAAAGGAACCATTCTCTCCCAGAAGCCCACAGCTCCATTGCCATTTTAAATGTCTTTATTTCCTGATTCATCAAGTGAAACTTAAAGTAAAAGATTTGAGTTTAGACAATTATTAAAAACTCATTAGAGGGCCAGGCGCAGTGGCTCATGCTGGTAATCCTAGCAGGAAGATTGCTTGAGGCTAGGAGTTCGAGATCAGCCTGAGCAAGACCCCATCTCTACAAAACATAGAAAAAGGAGTAGGGCGTGGTGGTGCACACCTATAGTCCCAGCTACTTGGAAGGCAGAAGCAGGAGAATTGCTTGAGCCCAGGAGCTTGAGTTTGCGGTGAGCTAAGAGGCCACCATTACACTCTAGCCCTGGTGACAGAGCAAGACACTGTCTCAAACAAAACAAAACAAAACTCATTAGAGGTGAAAGATCTGAAGCCACTATTTCTCACATTGCCCTTCATTGGATGCCATTTCCTGATTGTTGTAATGATTCCTCTTCTCTAGAGGAACAGAGACCCAGTTCTCTGTGGAAATTCTTTGAGATACTTCTTTGAAGAACTCAGGGATTCACTTCCCTTGCCTTCCTGTTCAATATTAAAGAAGTGGCATTTGAGTTCCAAACTCAGCTTTTCAAGCATATGCTGAATTATTCCATGCTTCTTAGCATTCAAGAATACATTGGTATCTTGTAATTGTAGCCAATTTGAGTGCTAATATGCTTTAGTTGCTTGAGGTACAATTGAATTAGCCCCTGTGGGCACTATTGCAGTAAAATATGGCTTTGAATGCAGTCTTCTGCCTCTTAATTAACCTTTACTTAAAACCCCAACTCCTAGATTTAGTGTCCTCTTGACATCAAAAGGGTATCAACTTATTTTATGGTGAAGGATATTTTCAAGGTTCTTTCTGAATAAACTAGAAATAAGTCTGGGACTCTTCATATTGATCAGGTAGCAGGTATAAGAACATATCTTGTCTCTCAGCTTTTAGTTAGGACATTTCTGTTTATTTCTGATACCAATTTATCTCACTGCTGTCGATGTATAGTTCTTTCTTAACATGTTTTTTGGAAAAGTAGAGACTATCTTGCAACTATGGTCTATATACTATAAAGTTAGCAAAGCTGTAAATACTGTGATCAGGATGCATGCAAATCACAATGGGCTCTCCTTTTAAATATAAATGCCTTCCTGGCACTGCATGATGAGGTGGATGTTAAAATCATGTTTTCCTTTTTGTTTGGCTTTTTAATGTGACAGCACAAGGAACCTGAGCTATTCTGGTCTATTCCTAATCAGAAAGAAAAATGCATTGTAGTAAGGAAGGGGAAATTGTTGAGTTTATGTATGTGTGTTCCTGAATTACCTGCTCCTTCATGCATTGGTTGTGCTTCTTATGGATGTGAAGTGCTGTTGATGTTGCTAATTACCATTTCAAAAGCCTGGCTCTAATAAGGCCAGATATAGCTTCTGCATCCTAGCAGGCTCTCTGTGGTGCTAACATTTTGGAGGATGTGAAATTTGATGAATGTTTACAACTAAAGGTCATCTTTCCTCACACCCCGTGGGTCATTCCGTCATTCCAGCCTAGCTCTCTTGTGCTCCCACTTTGAGTTAATGAGGACTCAAGGACCCGTGGGCAGCTGCAATGGAAAAAGCTTAGACTTCAAGGAGAATAAACAGAAACCTTTCAGATAAACCTGAGATTGTTTTTATGTATGTAAAGTCTATAGAACAAAGAAAAATTAAATGCTGAGGACTTTTAAATATGTAGAAAGAGCTGCAGATAGAAATTGAGTAACTATACTTCCTTCTCCTTTTGTTGGAAGAGACAGTCTTTTAGGTCCTAGGTTATGATTTCTGTTATTATCCAGGCCCCAGAATGTTTACAGCTCTTGGAGTAGGCTAGTCAGATTGATTCTAGGGAGTTGGTGTTCCCTGCCTGTTGCTCAGGGCAGTAAATGGTGTGGCAGTTTCAGGGGTCCCTATAGCATGAGTACAAATTTCTGCCAGTCTGAGAGCACGAGGTCTCACTAGAGCATTGCCCCCCGCCCCAGATCCATCACCATAAGCATCCTTTCTTCTTACCAGTTCCAATTGGGGTGTTCAGAATGTCCAACCTTCCGGTGGCAGCAGGACAGTGTGTATCAAAAACCTTAAAAATGGTCAATGACCAGGAAATCATTTTTCTATGAATTTATTTTAAAGATATTTTAAATTCTTTTTAATATGTGAAAAGAGATTATGAAAATATTAAAAAGATTAAAGATTGTCTTTAGATAATGTGAAAATATCTTTAAAATGAAAGCAAGCTATATGAGGATTTAGGATGTGGTGTATTAACATAATGGAATGTTCTACAACCATTAATAACTTTCTTGTAGAAGCACATGGTATAGAAGTATTTATCATCAAAAATGGTTGAAATAGTGAATTTTATGGCCGGGCTTGGTGGCTCACGCCTGTAATCCTAGCACTCTGGGAGGCCGAGGTGGACAGATTGCTTGAGGTCAGGAGTTTGAAACCAGCCTGAGCAAGAGGGAGACCCCGTCTCTACTGTAAATAGAAAGAAATTAATTGGCTAACTAATATATATAGAAAAAATTAGCCAGGCATGGTGGCACATACCTGTAGTCCCAGCTATTCGGGAGGCTGAGGCAGAAGGATTGCTTAAGCCCAAGAGTTTGAGGTTGCTGTGAGCTAGGCTGATGCCACGGCACTCACTCTAGCCTAGGCAACAATGCGAGACAATGTCTCAAAAAAAAAAAAATAGTGAATTTTATGATATGAATATTTTACCACAGTAAAAAAGTATTCACAAATATTTTAAGTGAAAAGGTAAGTTGCAAAACAATTTAGTAGCTTCTCTCATTTGTATACAAAAATGCATCTTTAAATGATAACAGCTATGTTATAAGATTTACTTTTATGTTGAAATTACAACTGATTTTTATTCTTTTATTTTTCTTATAGTTCTTTCTAATTCTTCTTCCAACTATGTTTATTACCTGTAAACTACAGGGGGAAATGAATAAGCTATCTAAATAAACAGAAGGAGAGACCATTCCTTTTCCAGTTATATAGATAACTTTTTAGTTGAGGGTCAATTATTTCTACTTAAGTAGAGAAATAACTCATGCAGAAGGATATATTAGAGAATTTGCTAAAATATGGAGCCCAGCTCCACCAATATGAATGTCTAATCAGATTACAATGTTGAGATATTAAACAATTAGACATTACAAACATTTCTGTATTATTTAAGCACTTGATAGTTTTTCATATGAGATTTTTCAGGAAGTAATGCAAAAAGAAAAAAAAAAGAAGTGTAGAACTGCTCTGGAAGTGGTAATGCAAACTTTAAAAAAATAAAGACTGTAGTAAAACTCTTGGATGATTGGGCTATAAAATGAGTAATTCTTGTTATAAGCTCTGCGTGAATAAGACTAGTATTATCTCTAAAGTATCACTAAATTGCTTGTTATAAGTTCAGCTATTTTGTCCATTTACTCTTGGGTATAATTTATAGAAATTTAATATTAATACATTCAAATATAGTATCATATCTCCAGGCAGTTTAACAGAGAAAAGACTGAATACCTATATCACCTATATGTGCGAAGGAATACACTAGATGTACAAAAGGGAAAAATGCAGGACTTCTTTCCTCAAAGTGCACCTCTTGTTTGCTTGATTTAGCAATGTTCCCAAAATCTATCCTGGAGCAAGCAGATGAAGGGTTTATATGGCCAAAAGAAGTTTCCCTAGATAGCTGTCCACCCTACCAGGCACTCTCAGAATAGTCAGAGGACAGGGTTGGTACACCCATTCATGAAGAAAAAACCTAAGTGTATTCTGCTTGGAAGAAGTTTCTGTTTCTTGTAAAGTCTTGTCATATCTTACAATTCTAACCAAAGAACCACCTATTAGCCTTATTTCAAAGTGTAGTAAGTGAAATGTGGGCAGTCACATAGACCTAATTACAATTGATACCTATTTGACTGACATGCTGTAAAATATATTCTTTACCAGAAAAAGAACTTGCCAAATGATGTGCTCTAATATGCTGTTCAGTATATCTTATGTCAGAGGGTGTGGTCTCAGGAGGCAGACTGCCCTGTTACAATTCCCAGTCTCCTGCTTTTTGTTTAACTTTCCGTGCCTCTTTTCAACCACTTTTACAAGGGAGGTAATGGTAATAATATTCATCTTATTAAAACAGTTTGAAAGAATAAATGAGATAATGTATCAAATCATCTTAAAACAGTAAGTGACCCCTAGTAAGTTCTCAGTAAATGTAAGCTCAGTAGTAAGAGTTGGTGGTGGTGGTGGTAAAATAAAATTTTATGCATAACAATTCTAACTTCTTTAAATTAAAAATTTACAGCCGTGAGACACACAAAATCGCAGTGTTTTATATTGCTGAAGGTCAAGAAGACAAGTGTTCAATCCTCTCCAATGAAAGAGGAAGCCAAGCATATGAAGATTTTGTTGCTGGACTTGGATGGGAGGTAATGAATTCCATTCAGCAGATGCTTACTGACTAGTAGTAGGAAATGTCCAAACTAGGCATTGTATAAGTTTTTATATAATGTGCAAATATAGCATGAGGAGAGATGTGGAATTGAAGAACTTATTGAATTTGACATCTTCTATTAGTTATTTTTCAGTACTTTATTCATGAACTTTTGTTTCCCCTTAACTTTCCTCTTAATATTTTTTATTTGCTTATCAGAGCTGAATAGTCAGATGGGCTTACCCAGCCATAGGTAGTTTGTAGTAAGAGAAGACAGCTGTGGGCAGAGAAGCAATAGCTTTGGCCACAATATGGAAATTGAAGAAGAAATGAATGACTTCATAGGTGAAAAGATGAAAAACGAGTTGGATGAAGTAAAAGTTGCAACAAAAATAGAATGTGGTAGCCATGATGGTTTAGCTATCAACTTGTTTCCCTAAGGTAGATCCCAGGATGATCAATATTGAAAAAGTTTATTTTTTTCTTTATTAAATGATACTTTGACATATAGACATATATACACTTATACACTCACATGCACACACACACCTGTCTCCTAGGAACATATATCTAGAAGAAAATGTATCCTTAGGATCTGAAAGAATTCAGAGTAGTTAAAATGAAAATCAACATATCTAAAACAGTTTTCTTACTTTTTATTACTTTTGTTTGAGTTTCTCAGTTAACTGTGCTGTGGGAAACTCTTTAGGTGCTTTTGAGATTTAGTGCTAGCAAGAAACTGACATAGAGTGCAGTAAGAGTGCATCAAGGTCATGACTGTACTTTCTAAAAAGTCAAGTAGGTTTTAGTCTAAAAGAGTTATGATGATGATATTAAGAGTTAAATGATATACTGCACTTCCAGTAAATAGATATTTTCACTAATAAGGTTACTCCTATTTTTTCTTTGAGTACATTTATTATTTAACTAATATATTTGTAAATCATACTTTACTAGCATTTTAAGAAAAGACATTAATTCATAGTATATGTTGATTGTATTTGGCACAGAAGAAATTCTTCTGTTTTTTTCTTTCATGTATGTTAAGAATTCTTTACTGAAAGATACTAGTTTATGACAGGTAAAAAAAAAATTTGAATTAAGTCACTGACTAGGAAGTGAACACTTATGCCATAACTTTAAAAGGAATTATGACTCATAGACTTTTGGCAGTGGTGAAAGTAGAATAGCACTTTGACAGGCAGTTTAGCAATGGCTGCTAAATTGTTTAATATCTGTACCCCTTAACCTAACGTCTAAGAGAAACACTCCTGTGAGTGCTCCTTAGAGTTTGAGAAAGCAGAAAACACCACAGATACATCAATATATATATACACACACACGTATGTATGGGAGGGAAAAAAGAGAAATACATACCAAAATTTTGTTGGTTTTCTTTTTCAGTTGGTAGGGTTATGGAGCACTTTCATTTTTAATGTTCTTTATTTCTTTAATAGTTTAATCTTCTCTAACTTTGTGTTACATTTGTAATCAGAAGGAAAGATATAAAAATGAAAACAGTTTTTTAAAAATCCACATTCCTGCTTAGTTAGATAAGAACAGCTCAGTTTTGATCCTCACGCTTTCCTCTGTGACCTCTGCTAGGTGGATCTCTCAACCCACTGCGGGTTCATGGGCGGCCTCCAGCGCAACGGCAGTACTGGGCAGACGGCCCCTTACTATGCTACCTCGACCGTGGAAGTGATTTTCCACGTTTCTACTCGGATGCCATCAGACTCAGATGATTCACTCACCAAAAAGGTAAGGGGCCTCCTTGGGGGGCATTCTTAGTGGCCGTGGCTTGTAGGCGAGGCTCTCCTAGGACTGACTGGACAAAGACCAGGGCATAGAACTCACTGAGACTGATTTCCCTGGACTCAACGTCTGTGTCGCTCTTCCTCAGGCTTCGGTTGCAGCTAGCCTAAAATATCTAGCATGGCACAAACTAGGTAAAGAAATACACAAAAAGAAATCAATCATTTGAGTCTTAAATCCTGAGATTAAGGTTTGGGGACAGGAAGGGTCTTAAATGTTTTTGCTCTTGGATCTCCCCTCACATGGATATTACCTGGCAGAACATAACATTTTTGACCTCACAGGTTGTCAGAGGTCACAAGATGTAATGACCCTGCACAGCGGGGCTCTGGAAAAGCAAGCAACTCTCAGGCTTGCTGTGGGGCGATTGGCAGCATCTATCAGCGGGGAGTGCAGGTGCGCTACTGGCCCAGCAGTCGCAGTGTTGCCGCTTTACCTTTCACTCTCCTTCAGCTTGCCCTGTGGCCAGTTTTCCCTAGAACTCAAGGGAAACCTCATCCACCCCTGAGGACAGCCCCCCAGGACAACATGGCCCTGTACTTTCCAACCTGTCCTGTTCATCTCAGATGACCCTGTGTTAGAAGTGAGGACCACCTCAGTAGAGGAAGAATCTTAGTCTGGAAAGGAAGCCTAATAATCGGATCCACTTCTGTAGGTTTCCAGGTGAGAAGAGAGTCTCAGAGCACCTGGGATTTGCACTCACCTGGCCTCCTGGCAGGTAGTGAGCCTAGAATCCCAGCCTCACACCCATTCTCTTTCTACCACACAGATGCAAGGGACTAAGGATCAACACCTCAGATGCTGACTAAAGGTGGCCCCTAGGGAGTCTAATGTGGTGGCTATAGCCAGGCCCTGGAGATAGGCGCAGCTGGGCTTAAGTGTGTGTTCAGTTATTTCACCAGCCTGTGCCCCAGTTTTCCATCTATTAAATGGGATTTAAAATACAGCAGATGCCACAGGGTAGTTGAATGAGGTAAATGAGATAATTCCTATAAAATTGCTTAGCACAGTGCCTGGTAAGATATCTCTGACCATTAGCCCTCATCATTGCCCATTGGTCTAATTGATTCTTTTTTCTGCTGCCCTGTTAGCCGGATGATTTATATTGGCTGAAGGGCCTCACTGCACTGGCCTCATTTCTTGTTTCTGCAGTTTTACTTTTCATCACTGCAGCCACAGGCATCTGAACTATGTATAGACATACCTTGTTTTATTGCACTTCACTTTACTCTTTGCAGATATTGCATTTTTTACAAATTGAAGGTTTCTGGCAACCCTGCATCAAGCAAGTCTCTTGGTGCCATTTTTTTAAACATCAGGTGCTCACTTTATGTCTCTGTCACATTTTGGTCATTCTTGCAATATTTCAAACTTTTTCATTATTATATTTATTATAGTGATTTTTGATCAGTGATCTTTGATGTTACTGTTGTAATTGTTTGGGGCACCACAAACTACACTCATCTAAATAGTGAACTTAATCGATAAGTGTTAATATGTGTTCTGACTGCTCCACCCTGGCCATTCCTCATCTTTTTCCCTCTCCTTGGGTTTCCTGATTCCCTGAGACAAAACAATATTGAAATTAGGCCAACCAATAACCCTACAATGGCCCCAAAGTGTTCAAGTAATAGGAGCATGACACATCTCTCACTTTAGATCAAAAGCTAGAAATGATTTAAGCTTAGTGAGGAAGGCATGTTGAAAGCGGAGATAAGCTGAAAGCGAGGCCTGTTGCATCAAATAGCCAAGTTGTAAATGCAAAGGAAAAGTTCTGGAAGGAAATTAAAAGTGCTACTCTAGTAAACACATGAATGATAAGAAAACAAAATAGTCTTATTGCTGTTAGGGAGAAAGTTTAAGTGGTCTAGACAGAAGATCAAACTAGCCACAACATTCTCTTAAACCAAAGCCTAATCCAGAGCAAGGACCTAACCCTCTTCAATTCTATGAAGGCTAAGAGAGGGAGAGGTGAGGAAGCTGCAGAGGAAAAGTCTGAAACTAACAGAAGTTGGTTCATAAGATTTAAGGAAAGAAGCCATTTCCATAACATAAACATAGAAGCTGAAATAGCAAGTGCTGATGTAGAAGCTGTAGCAAGTTATCCAGAAGATCTAGCTAAGATCATTAATGAAGGTAGCTACACTACACAAGAGATTTTCAATGTAGACAAAACAACCTTCTATTGGAAGAATGGCATCTAGAACTTTCATAATTAGAGAGGAGAAGTCAATGCCTGGCTTCAAAGCGTCAAAGGACAGGCTGACTCTTGTTAAGGGCTAATGCAGGGCCGGGTGCGGTGGCTCACGCCTATAATCCTAGCACTCTGGGAGGCCGAGGCGGGCGGATTGCTTGAGGTCAGGAGTTCGAAACCAGCCTGAGTGAGACCCCGTCTCTACTATAAATAGAAAGAAATTAATTGGCCAACTAATATATATAGAAGAAATTAGCCGGGCATGGTGGCACATGCCTACAGTCCCAGCTACTTGGGAGGCTGAGGCAGAAGGATCACTTGAGCCCAGGAACTTGAGGTTGCTGTGAGCTAGGCTGATGCCACGGCACTCACTCTAGCCTGGGCAACAAAGCGAGACTCTGTCTCAAAAAAAAAAAAAAGGGGCTAATTCAGCTGGTAACTTTAAGTTGAAGCCAGTGCTCATTTACCATTTTGAAAATTCTAGGGCCTTTAAGAAAGACGCTCAATTGACCCTGCCTATGCTCTATAAATGGAACAACTGAGCCTGGTTAACAGCTTATCTGTTTACAGCATGGTTTACTGAAGATTTTAAGCCCACTATTAAGACCTATCACTCAGAAAAAGAGATTCCTTTCAAAATATTACTGCTCATCAGCAATGTACCTGGTCACCCAAGAGCTCTGATGGAGATGTACAAGGAGATGAATGTTGTTTTCACGCCTGCTAACACAACGTCCATTCTGCAGCACATAGATCAAGGAATAATTTCTATTTTCAAGTCTCATTATTTAAGAACAACGTTTCATAAGGTTATAGCTGCTGTAGATAATGATTACTATAATGGATCTGGGCAGAGTACATTGAAAACCTTCTGGAAAGGATTTACTATTCCAGATGCCATTAAGAATGTTTGTGATTCATGGGAAGAGATCAAAATATCAACATTAACAGGAATTTGGAAGAGGTTGATTCCAGCCCTCATGGATGACTTTGAAGAACTCAAGGCTTCATTTGAGGAAGTAACTGCAGATGTGGTGGAAATAGCAAGAGAACTAAAATTAGAAGTAGAGCCTGAATATGTGACTGAATTGCTGCAATGTCATGATAAAACTTGGATGGATAGGGGGTTGCTTCTTATTCAGATGAGCAAAGAAAGTGGTTTCTTGAGATGGAATCTATTCCTGGTGAAGATGTTTTGAACATTGTTGAAATGACAATAAAGGATTTAGAATATTCCATAAACTTAGGTGATAAAGCAACAGCAGGGTTTGAGAGGATTAACTCCAATTTTGAAAGAAGTTCTACCATGGGTAAAATGATATCAAACAGCATTGCATGCTCCAGAGAAATGTTTCGTGAAAGAATGAATAGATTAGAATTCATTGTCTTATTTTAAGAAATTGCCTCAGCCACCTCAACCTTCAGCAGTCACCACCCTAATCAGTCAGCAGCAGCTATCAACATCAAGGCAAGACCCTCCACCGGCAAAAAGATTTTAACTTGCTGAAGGCTCCGATGATTGTTAGCATTCTTTAGCAATAAAGTGTTTTTTAATTAAGGTGTGTACCTTGTTTTTTTAGATATCATACTACTACATACTTAATAAACTATAGTTATAGTATAAACAACTTTTACATGCACTGGAAAACCAGTGTACACAAAAATTTGTATGACTCACTTTATTATGATATTGGCTTCTTTGTGGTGGTCTGGAACCAAACCTACAATATCTCTGAGGTGTTCATGTACATGGTGGGCAACAGTACATGTGAGAAATCAGAAATTGAACCACAGCCCAATCACAGACAACTTTTATAGAGATCAAGTGTCTGAGATGTACAAAGCACAATTTGCATTCAAAAACCTCAGCAGCTTTTCACTGCCCCAACCCTGCATGCTATAATGGCCTGGGTGTGGATGGGCAGCACAGCAGCCAGAGGCACTGGCCACATGCTGGTTCCCACTGGCCTTGGAGGAGCTGCCTCTAGACCTCTAGGTTGGGTTTTGGTGGCTTCCTCTGGCTGCAGAGCTCTTAGTGCAGGGAACTCTGCCCTTAAGAGCTCACTAGTATGTGAGACTATAGTGTAGTTTACCAGAACCCTAAGCTGGGCTTGCACACCTTTTTTATTTGCAGTATGTTGCAAATTGTCACTACTGTGCAAATGCTTCACTATATTCTATGATTTTTCTTATGACTGAAAACTATTTTATTAAAAGGTAGATTTTACATATAAAATATTTTTTAAATAGGATTGGTTTTTTGAGAAAAGACATGTTTTCTTGACAAAATGCCATGCTTTCAATAATGTTGCAAGGCTTGGCCTGGTTGAAAGATTCCCTACTGTAATAATCAAAATTCAGCTGATACCTTTTGCAGCTTGAAGATTTAGCATCATTAGCGATAAAACTGTCTTTATCAGGATGTCTCACAGCTAGACCCAAAATCAGTCACAGTAACAGCAGCCCACAGTTCCTTGTCTTATTCTAACTAAATTGTCCCTAACAGCTTAAAAATGAGCTGCAAAATTCTAAAGTGATTCATGCTCTCTTCTGCCCCTATCATGGGGGGACTTTTTCAATTCTGCAATCTGGTTGCAACCCCATACTGAACTCTTGATCCTTCACTGCAGAAATTTGTTAGCTCTAGCTAGATTAGATTTTTCACAGCTAATCTAACTGCTGTAGGGGTTTGCAGAGTGGGGACAGAGCTGTGCTATTGGATTTGTCCAATTCATTTGACTCCAGGACTATAATTGCACTTATGTCTTACAAGGCTTTTATAGCCTCAGGCTGGCCAGCCGCATAAAAAACAAATTGGCAGTGATACAGTATGAGTGAAAAGGGATGAAAGGCCCACATTATCAGTCTCCAGGCAGCGCTGTTCTGGCAGGAAGTTTCTTGGTTAATTTACAAATAAAACTTAGATTTTAGGATGGGCACACTGTCAGCTGAACAATGGGGATGTCAGGCCTGACTGTTACTTAGTAAAAGTAGCAGCCGGGCCCACTGAGGAGCAGGAATTCTTCAATCAAACAGACGACTCCTTCTGGAGCCAGCTGGCCATGTAATGCAATTAGTCGGGAAAGGAGGTCAGCCTATTAGGTGTGTACCATGACCAGTGTCACCAGTGGCGTGCAGCCTGGCAGCAGCAGGCAGAATGACTCGGGCAGAGGGACTTTAAAACTCTGTCAGGATGAGAAGTGACAGGGATGCATGGGGTTGATTTTGTAAGACTTAAAAACCAAGCATTCGTTCTGAGCCTGATAAGCATCTGGGTATTTTGGAGTCTGTTGTGCAGTTGAAGCAGTAGCTGGCACGGATGCCAGCTCCATTCCAGTGGGAGAATCATCAGTCTACTCCTGGATTACACAGGAATCAGAGCAACCTGACTCGGATGTGGATTTCTAACCCGAGTGCCTCTAATCAAAATTCTCCAAAACTCACAAAATAAATATCTCTGTGATGAAATCCGCTTTAAATTCAGCAACACTTTGAGGCTTCCAGAGTATTCCACTATGTTCTGACATGTTTGATGGTTTGGAGAGATTAATTATTTGTTTCACCTACTTGTGTTCTTGGCATGGCCTAATTGATTCTGTGGCAAGGTGCTTCAATTTGTTAAAAATCATCATGTGGGCTGTGCTGCAGAGGCCCTGCCTCTTTGTGGAGGGAGTATTTTTTTGTTCTTTCCTCCAGATTTATCAGCTAAATGGGTCCTGTGGCCTTAGCTCTTAGTTTTGTGATTTAGCTAATTCAACTGATGTGTCCAGAAGTCTGAGGCACATGAAATTGAAAGCAGCTTTGAGATGATGAATATTGTATTACTACTACACAAAAATAGCTCTTCCTTAATTACAGAAGTGCCAGACTGGGAGAATGGGTCTATTAGTGTGATACTACCCTCCCTTGCTGTAGTTATGAGAATACAGTTGCAAATAAAATTAGGAGAGACTTACTTGGGTTATGTAATTGAGTAACCCAATTTAGAAAGGGGAGAGTAACTGTTAAATTTCAATAATTACTGTATCAGAGTTAATGCTTTGCAAGTTATATTTGTGGATCAGAATGAGCTATCACAGGTTTTAGGGTACCAGCATTGGGTGGTAACAACACATTTGAGAGGTGTTTAATAGGTGAGTTGTTCACATTCAGACGTTTGTGCCAGCATTATACTGAGGGGCCCAGAACCATCCTGAGGTTGGCTTTCTTTGCAGGATCAAGCTGTAGGTCTGAGCTCCGGGGACAGCCCTAGTTCTCACAATTACCTTCTGCAGGTCTAAATTCTTCCCAAAGTTCCAATTAGGTGCTATTCATATTTCCCTTGAAAACATGCCTATATTGCATTCTTGGTGATGCTGGCTACCATGTTCTTACTCCAGAAAGACTGAATTTGAAGAGTGTTTTGTAATGTCTTTGCATGTTTTATTACAAAGGAAAAAGAAAAGAATGAAAAGCTGTAGTATCTAAAATGGAAATCAAGAAATACAGAGATACTTTCAGTGCTACTATGAGACCCAATGTTGTCTTTTTTTTTTTTCTTAACTATTTGTGTAATGGGTTGGCTATACCTTTTGCCTGCTACCCTTTTAACCTTTATATGAGGCATGGGGTGGGGAATAAACAAAAAAGATGTACTGGGTAATTTTACATTTAGAAAGTCGTGGATACTATTAAATTGTCCTGGATCATCGTGACTTGTGCACAACACCTGCAGTTGCATTTGTCCCAGAGCCCATATTCAGACACAATTGAATCGTGCGCCCCCAATATGGGTACAAAGGTACAGGCACAAGTCTGTTTTTAAATAATTGGATTGTACAGTCATTCCCAGAAATACGAGAGAGTAAAGAATAAGCAACCATTGCAGCAACCAACTTCCTTTGTAACTTTATAAATTGAAAAGAGGCTATGTTGGGGTCACCTCAGATTTTCTATTTTTGGTCAAATAGTCTATAAAAAATGTATTTATGCTAACATGTTCTAAATACATAGCATTCCAGAGCATCATTTTTTATCTTTTAAGACAGAGCTGTAACATTAGCTTTGACACAACATCTCTATTAAAGTGCTTCTGAATTTACTCATTTTTAGTGTTCATCTGTTAGATAAGCAAAGAAGCAAGAAATACTTCTTCATGGTGCCAGGGAACATCCTTCTGTTGTTCCCAAAACCTCAGATTCCCAGTAGATGTCAGAGGGCCTTCACCAGTCAGGCTTTATGGTTTTAGAACTTCAATTTTGGCCAACATTTTAATCTTCTTATCTAGTTTCTTTTAGTCACAATTTCAGGCCTACTCAACTGATTTCACATACATCTTTCTCCAGCTTGAGGCAGTGCAGTCATCGTGCAGGAGATCCATCAAGGGTGTTCTTCTATTTGACAGAAGTTGGGCCTGGAAGAGCTCTGAAGGGTTCCTTCCTTGGAGATCTTCCTACTGAGGGCTTGTCAAAGAGGCCAGGAGTCTGTGATTTGTTTTTGGACTTTGCAGCCTGTTTGTGTATAAAATGAATTTTTTTAAAAAGTGGGCTAAACTGTTTGAACTATGACAATAAACTAGCTTTTGGTGCCGGCTTAGATAACCGCGGAGCAGTAGAAATGGCACTGACATGGCAACCCCAGCCCAGGTCCCCAAGCCTGCTCGACTACTCACTGTTCATGCAACCTTGGGCAGGTAGAACCTTCGCTTTCTTGAGCCCCCATTTCTTCCTTGTAAGATAAGATAAAGATGATATCTATCTCAGAGAGTTAGCAGGAAGAGTAAAGAAGACAATATGTATGAATGTGCTTTCTATATACTATACTCTTTAAATGTTAGGTAGTAGTGTTCTTAACAAATGTAAGTAATATTTATTTCCTAAACAAAGATAATGTTATGCATCCTTTTTCTTAAAGGTTTGGCACGAGTCTAAGTTTCCTATACATTTGGTAATAATTGTGTTATAATGGCATATGTTTTCTGTTTTCTTATTCTTAATTTCATAATAACCATTGAATTAAGAGTCTTATGAAGCACTACTGTAATGTAGAATAAAAGACTCATGTCATTAATTGTTTAGAAATATGCTCAGCAATATAAAGCATAAAACTCAGATGCAGAAGTAAAATTTCATTAAAAAACAAATTCTTCAAAAGGTCTCAGCACTGTCCAGACATAATGTATCTGTGATGCAGCATGCATTAACTTACTACCAATGTACTGAGATGGTGAAGATGAGCTGTGTTTTTATTCACTTGTGCATTTTCATTTTTGAGACAATGTCTTGCTCTGTTGCCCCAGGTAGAGTGCAGTGGCGTCATCATCGCTCACTGCAACCTCAAACTCCTGGGCTCAAGTGATCCTCCTGCCTCAGCCTCCCAAGTAGCTGGGACTAGAGGTGTGGGCCATGACGCCTGGCTAATTTTTCTATTTTTAGTAGAGATACGGTCTCACTCTTTCTGAGGCTGGTCTCAAACTCCTGAGTGCTAGGATTATAGGTGTGAGCCACCACACCCGGCTCACTTGTGCTTTTTTATTTCCTCATAGAAGACGTTAGTGTAGTAGCCTTTTGGGACAGTGAAATATTTTTTGTCTCCCGAGTTTGATAATTCAGTTTGTAAGTCATGACCCCTTATAAACCGTTGTTATCACCCTGACTAATAAAGAGCCAATTTGCTGTGCAGCTCCGTCACTTGGGGAATGACGAGGTCCACATCGTCTGGTCTGAACACTCCAGGGACTACCGCAGGGGCATTATCCCAACTGCCTTTGGAGATGTTTCAATCATTATTTACCCAATGAAGAATCACATGTTCTTTATCGCGATAACGAAGAAACCCGAGGTACGTTTTCACTGCATTGTTGCTCTTATACAGCATTTGCCATGTGATTCACTGTTATTAAAAAACAATGATATGAATATGTTAAAGGGGACTCTTTTCCAACTGGTGAATGTCTGACATATATTTGAATTACACATACTATATAGGAATTAAATACAAATTGGCACTTTTCAAAGAAATTTATGATTTTTTAAATGTTCTCAGTTTTTAAAATGTTGTAACTAAAAAAAATTGTAATTTTTAAGTTTCAGCACATTGATTAACAATAAGAATTGAACCCCATATGGCATCTCGCATTTTGTGGATAACTGTGGGTACAGAATCTACCCTTGCCTGACAGGGAGACTTACTGAGCCTCCAGCGGGTGCTAATGGGGGTCAATCCTGAAGGATTGTGCGCCCGTAAAGAGGCTGGGCCTCTGGAGCACAGCCCATGTGATGATTTTTAATAATCGAAGCCCCTTGCCACAGAATCAATTGAGCCATGTCAATTGGTATTGATCCTGGGAATTGCTGGAACAATCCAATGGCCTATGTGCCGGGTGCTAAATTGGCTGCAGTTTCCATCCTTGTCATACCTTCAGTGGTATTTTAGCAATGCTTTGTATGGTGACTTGTTTTCATATTGGAATTACTAATAGAAGGATTTTTTTTAAGTTTTTAATTAAACATTAGCATATTAAAGCCATTCCTCAAGAAGAATGACTTCGTGTTTTTCAGCTTGATGTTAAATATAATCTTCATTTTCATTCCAGATTGTTCTCCTGAAGGAGCTAAAAGTTATCCTTCTAAAAATGCTCTATTTTTAAGCTTTAAAATAATAGGTAATTGAAGTTTATTGTTCAAATTAGGGTTTATAACCTAATCTAAAGTGTGAAAGTTGTGAGGATTAAATGAGGTAATAAATGAAAAGTGCTTCAAACAGTACCTGGTTCAGAGTAAAAGTAAATGTTAGCTATTATGTGATTATTCTTATTAATTTTTGTTGTAGTTACTACTATGGAAATAGAATAACTAATGAATTCCAAGTTTAACATGCTTATTATTTCTCAGACTACATATATGTTGAGTGAACTACTCAATCCAGAAAAGTCCCCATAATGGCTGTTGCAAAGCCTCACATAAAGGGAACTTTCTTTCTATTCAGGTAGCAAAGATGCCAAAGGTTACTGCATATTAAATAGCTGTATTATTTTTGATTCAGATCTCTGTGTATGTGAAGTTTTCAATTTTATACAAGAAAATGGCTGGTAGTTGGTAACATTTGTATTGTCCATGAAAAGCACCACTTATTTTTAAGAATTAGATTGAAAATTTTAGTATTAGAGAATCAACAAATGTAGTATCTTACAGCTTTCAAAACTATAAAATGTGTTTCTTTAATATTTAGTATGGATTAACTGGCTTTATCAGTTCATTTTCAACATGGTCCTTTAAAATGTCATTTAATGTCCTAAAAATGTCACCTTTATTTTTAAAGTAAATGAAGAACATAAAAGGCATTTCAATTCACTTCTTAGTGTCAAAAGTGATTTTTAAAAAGGTAGCAACACTTATAATGCATGAAAACCATCATTAACATACCTTTTAAAATTTCTTATAAAATGTGTGTAAGTTCTATAAATTTGGTCATAAATTCCGACAAGATAAATTGAGCAAATCACTTTCTTAATATTTTAATTCGAAAAGCCTAAAGGGAAGAAGAGAATAATGGCCAACTGGAAATTTAGTATTTTCCCTACATTTAAAGTACAAACCATTACAATGTAATAAAATTAATCCAGACATTTCCAGGGCAAGTGTGGCTGACCTTTTGTTCACCAACCACTGACCCCAGGGTGAATGCAAGAGGCTTGTGGAGGGAAAGTCTGTTTGTTTGGCTTCAGTCCCTGGTATTTAAATTGCATTCCCTAATCAAATGAAAAGGCTGTCCTCTCTATCAGGTTACAGAATCCATGGCAACATTTGGCCTTTTATATCCATAATGTTAGCCTTTTTGTTTGCATCTAAGTAGAGACACCTGGAGCAATGTTAACATTAACCGATTTAGCATTAATAGCTTCATTATATAAGAATTTCTGATCAGATAGCTGTTACTTTTGTTATATTGCTTCAGCTTGTATTGTTGTCATTTTTTATCTCCCTGCTTGGCAACCAGGCAATGATTTGCAAATTTTTTTTGTCTTGATTAATTAAGCAATATAATTATCAGTAACCGTGATGCAGTCTTTGCTCAACAAAGCTTCTGAGAGAAAACAATGGTAAGTCTGTTAGTATGAATGCATTCCACGCGTCCCAGATGCATGAGGATATTATGGACAATGAGGGGAAAGGCCGCCTGTGAGCGAGGACAAAGGGTGCCACGCAGACTCGACACACTGCACATACCGCCAGGGACATGCTGCGGGCTCCCTGGGACACAGACGCCTCGTTAGATTACAGCTAGTCAGCAGAGATTAATTCTCAGCCATTTGGTGCAATAATTTACCCATTCCCTAGTCTTTTAACTAGTGTTCCTTACTATGGAAGGAAAGGCTTTGTACTCAAAAGGTTTATTTAACCTTGCCTACTTTTAGGGATCTCTACCAAAATCATTATTTTTGCTTAGAGATTTTAATGATGCAGCTGCTTGAAGTTACAGAGTATTCCTTTTGGGGGAGACAGGATATGCATAAGTTTCAGAAATTTGTAGGCAGAGTCTAAGGCATTCTTTTAGCACCTGTATATTTCATCTGAATATAGTATTCTAGTATTCTTAGTACTCTGTGGTCTAAGTACATTTATTTTACTGGTCTCTGGGCAGCCATACTTCCCTAAGAATAATTTTAATCCTTTTTTAGGAGGAAAAAAAAAAAAACCCTCATCAGTACACAAAAGTCCTGCTCATTGGGTAGAGTCATGCATATTCAAATTGTACTTTCATTCACTCGGCCTCATTAATAGCGTATGTAATAATGTAGGACTATTTGTAATACAAGCTCACAGGCAGCATTGCTTCCAAGTCCTTTGAAATTTAACATATTTCGCTTTTTCATTCCATACACCTCCCTTAAATATACAAATTATGTGCCTGGCAGAATCCGCCTCCTCTTAATAATACACAGCATTTGCAAAATGGTATGTTGAAGTGTGGGTGTGCTGTGTGAGCACATAAAACCCTCTCATCTGAGAGGGCCTGTTCACTTCTTGAGCTTTGTATTGAACTTCTTTTTTTTTCATTAAATTAAAAAAAAAATAAATCAGTGTGCTTAGCAGCATCATTTCATTGTTAAATTACTTTAAAAATAAATCCATCTCCATAAATATTGACACAATAGTCCTTTAGTCATAGAAAAGAAATGTGTTATTGTCAGACTTAAGTTTTTTTCCTACTTGTATTACTAAGTCAGCAGTCAAGGAAAGACTTGCATATAGAGCAGAATGTGAGTGATTTAAGGGGTTTGTTAAAATGCCCTGTTCTTCAGAAAAGCGATTCCTAAAATCTTCACACTGCAGTGAGTACTCATGCTGCTTTCCTTCCCTTTCAGTAACTGGCAAGGAATATTGGTGTTCAAAGTGTTTACTTCTATAAACTTGTGAAGGTCAGTTTTAGTGTTTTTGGCATGTTTCTTTTCAGGCACATTAGTGACCGGCACTGGCTAGTAACCAGTTGACCAGAGGGTAGATGTTCTGAAGCAAATTTAAGCAGGACCAGTTGAGACAAGAGGAAGTTAGGTGAAGGGTCCTCGTTTTCATCTCAACCAGAAGTGTCAGTTTTGTAAGTGAAAAACATGTTAATGTCCTCCCAGCTCTGCTCACTCTGCCCTGTTAGATACCAGAATGCGAAAAAAATTGATAATGATCCAATCATTTCTGAAAAGTATAGGAAGGAAAAGAGTACTAGGATAGGAGATGGGCCCCCAAAGTTCTGATTTCAAGGCTTTCACAAGTGAATGGGTATCTTGGGCAGATTTTTCAATTTCTTTGGACCTTAGTTTCCTCAGCTGTAAAATTCATGTTGGGGACCAAGGCCTCTCTACAGTCCTCCCAGGGATTCTAAATGCCTTTGTTGGATCCTCTCCCTCCTTGATGCTCATCATGCCTTTCCTTAAGTTGCCCTGTCACAAGGGTGCTGTCGAGGTAGTATCTGGCTTTCTTGCAGGGTCAGCAGCTGTCGTGAGAGTGTATCCCTCTTCAGAATGACATCTAGGCCAGGAACTTTGCCTGGAGCAGGTGCCCCGAAATGCTGGTAAAAAGGCCGATGCACCAGACGACACAAGAGCATTTGCACATGTGAGGCTGAGAGGAACCCAGTATTGGCACCTGTGTTTGAAAGAAAATCTTTTAAGCTTACTGGTGTGGCCTCATTATATAGGGAATGTGTTTCACTTTACAACACGGTTATGTAAATTCCTTTTTTTTTTTTTTTAGTTCAAATGTGCAGTTTTCTTAAATATTTATCCCATCCCAACTGAATAACCCATTTGAGATTAAATCATACACTTTAAAATACTTTGGGAAATTCTCTGGGAAATTAAGTTGTTAACTCTTGAATATGCGAAGTCATTTATTTAGAAAAGATGATTGAAAATACCAACTAGAATTTACTAAAATAAGTTATTAAATGGACTACTGTGGTATGTTCTAGTATGGTAATTTATCATCATCATTATTATTAGCGTTATTTTTAGTAAAGGAATGACATTGAGAACTATGTGAAAAGACATCTGTCATTTGCAGATGTTACGTTAAAATCAAATTTTTTCTCTAATTCATTCCCACTTCTAATTAGAGGAATTCCCTGGTTATAAGAGATTTGCATTATTCATTTTGTTCAGTTTTTGAAAGACTGACTCACTCACAAACAGTTGCCAAAGAATAATAAAGAACATTTATTTATATATTAAACCTTGATACAGATGGAAGAAAATGTATAGCCAAGCTATAGTATTAACTCTTAACTCCTGTTATATCTTTCACAACAATTTGGCTTTTGAGAATTCCTTCTTAATTGATTTTGCT